GTCACAGAAAATGGCAGCCGAGTTAGCAGTCTGCCGGGCAGACGAGTTGTCTCGCCCCTTGCAGCGAAAGGGTTAAATCACATATGTTGACCCTTATTAATGTACAGGTATCACAGCCTAGCTTAAACCACAACACATTGTGCCAGCCACACTTTTGAGGATGGATACATAGGTATTTGAGACAACTCTGTGTTGTTCTTGAACCATTCAACATAACTGGAGCTAGGTAGCTTTACTGGGAAATAAACAAGTGAGAAAGATGGATGTTGCAGCTATAAAGCCTTCATCAGAGCACACAAATAATTAAACAAATAGTAAAAAACATATGATACTGTTACAGCCTACAGCCACTTAGCTTTTAATCTGTGACTCAAGAAAGAGAAATGTAAGTTTTCCATTACAAATCCCAGAGATGAGTGGCTGGCTGAGCAATTACAGGGTTGAGCTGTCATGTCAAAGACCCGAGTTCAACCCTCCAGTAAGGTGATGGGAGTATTTTGTTATTGTTGTCAGGGGTAAAAAATAAACATCCTAACCTTTTCTGTCTGTTGACAGCATTAACCTTTAGCACCCCACAATAAAAATTCAAATTATTTCCCTTGCCTCCCACCTTATTTTTTTTCAGATTTTGCGTTTTTTATGGAGGAAACATGAAAAACACTATAACTTTTTGGTTTATGAATAATTTTGCATAATTATTTAAACTGAAATAAACAAATGATTTCTGCATACATCGATATGAGTTTTGTTGGTGTATGTTTGATAGGTGATGTGTGAGGACAGAGTGAAATGGGAAAAATGTAAAAAAAAACAGTACAAACATAAAGACTCACCAATTAGTAATGCATCTCCACGTATTCCGTATCTCTAAGAATCTGACACACTGTAAACAGAACTACCTTCACTTACTTCTCCAGACATATCAACTTCGCGACTGATATCGGCTGCATGAAAACACAAAATCTAATCGTCAGAGTCAGAATCCATGAAGATTTCAGAAAAATTAAATTTCATTTCGAAGGATGGTGATGGATATCGAACTGGCTTATAAAAATTGAGCCAACAAGCCCATTCGCGGCCATTACAGGAAGTTAAACCACTGTAGAATAGTTATTTATAGTTTTCAAATGACGTCAAACGCATAGCTCCGTTTAGTTGGGTATTTTCCCGACCATATAAGGTCGTCGACTATACTCGACTGTGGGGTGCTACGGGATAAGCGGCGGAAGTCCAGTATACTCGACTGTGGGGTGCTAAAGGTTAAAGATGCGGCCACGAATTCTCATGCTCAGGATTTGCCATCTGCACTGCCCTAAAAAGTTACATTTTAGCAGATTGTGGCCTAAAAAAGGGATTAACATGTTATACTTGTGTTTAATGTTAGTAGATTGTAACTGAAATTTTGAACATCTCTGTTTTGTTGCCAGATGGCCCTGTCTAAGAGACAAAATGAGTTTGAGCATCACAACCGATCACTGGGCTACCTAATGGAGAACAAAGAAAAAGATATAGTTTCCAGGTTGACTCAGCTTACACATTATCGGCAGAATCTGATAGACAGGAAGCTGCAAGAAGGGTTTGTAGTTTAAAAAAATGTTAAATCCATAGCAACATACGGATGTATGTCTTGGACTGTCTCGCAGTCATTAAGAAAGTATTAGACTTTTGATGTGAAACTAAGAGGAAAATTGTTTTCCTTTTGACTGCTTATCAGTCCTCCAGGCGACTCATGAGACAACATGGATAGAGAAGTGATTTGCCAAAAAAAACAGACTCGCAGAAAGCACTCAGATCGTTCTCCAGTGGATCCTGGCTCACTGCAGCATACCAGGAAATGATATAGCAGACAGACTTGCAAAAAATTGAACAAAGGAGAAACAACACACCCATTTATTGTTATTACCAGAGATCAGAGCACTTTTCAAGGAAAAATACAAGGAATTGTGGAGAGAACAAACTAGCAGAAAACATCCACAAGACCCCCTTTGCAGACTCAACAGGAAGCAACATAACAATTTCCCATCTATGAACAGGACACTGCCGGTTCAGCTACCACATGCATGAAATAAAGATTGTACAATCCCCACAGTGTGCCTGTGAAACAGGACCACAAACACCTGAGCACATTCTACAGACCCACCCCCTTTACCTACAACTTTGAAAAGACCCTTGACCACAAGAACAAAGTGTGGGGAGCAAGCTATAGTGAACCTTGCAGGACCTGCTGCTGACATGCGAGTTCAAAGAGGCAACCCACCTGATGGTCTGATCCGAGCAAACAAAACCAAATGCAAAGAAGAAGAAGAAGAAGAGAGGAAACTATAGAAAGATTCGCAGAATAAGAGAAGTAGTGAAAGATCTGAATATCAAGGAAGATTTGCCAGTCCCAGCATCTGAAATATTATGGCTATATGAAGCGCTGTGGTGTATTGGAAAGAACATCAGCAGAAGACAGGGTTCCAGGTTAGAGGGGCAGGGGCTGACCAGCTTGAAGATGGGCACAGGATATAAGTGACAGCTTGTTTAGAACAGTGGGAGATCTGGTGACAGGCCGAGTTTGTTTCGTTCAGGCTGTGATGAGGGCAACATTCTGCAAAGAACCTGCTACATAAGAATGGTTGTAAGCTGCGTTACATTTTACAAATCTACACTGATACAGGTTTAAAGTATATTGTGTGTATGTTGCTAGTTCTTAATTTTTTTAAAATCTATTGACACTTGAATTATGATAATGTTGGCAAGCCTGTCAGTCACCTTTACTTCCCATAAACTGTTCAGATAATTATTTTAGGCTGGTTCGTTTATAAAAAATGTACTTTGAGATTTAAAACATACGATGACGTGGGCTGCATATGCTGACATTCGCTGCAGCATTACCATTCTTGTGGTGTGCCGTACGGGTACCTTTTTTCTAGGCAATATTTTATTTGTCAGCGTACTGTAATAGACATTGTGGTTGAGTACCGCCAACTTTTTTTAGAGGCTTAATGACGAGTACTGGCATGTCTCTCTCTCCCCCCCCCCCCCTCTCCTAGAAAAAATAGCGATGACAACAACTCTCATGAGGATGTTTTTTTGCTGTATATGTAATTCTATTGTGAGTAAGTAAGTAAAAAGGACCTTTTTCATGGCTTCATAGGCATTGGGCATATAGGGCTAGACCTATATTTTATAGACCAATCGGCACTCGGTGAGTGATGTGATCTCCATCCCGCCAGCCACTTTTTTCTTCCTATGACTTTATCTGGTGCCCATTTAAGGCTGGGTCAACCTGGGAGCCTGTGTAATTTTTAAAGAGAAAAAAGTCAGGGCACCTTCTGACCCGCAGGTGAGCTTCTAGACGCTACTCTATGGCAGCTCTTCACAACTCTGATAGTGATTTATTATTGCTGTATATGTAATTCTGTGGTAAGTAAGTAAGTATCAGACTCTTTATAAGCCAGTGGCACATGACCAGGTCTTGTAGCAGACCTGTAGAACCAATGAGGGTCCTATTAAAGTTTCCTGGCCCATCTGTACACTTTCTTAGTCTGGCCTGGCTCAGAGGGGTGTCACATTATACTGCTTTTTTCAAAAAGAGTCGCTCATGTGACCTAGGCTCATGCTTTGGGTAGGGTGGTTTGGGTTAGGGCCAGTTCCAGATGTTCTCCGTATAATTAAAAGCTGTGTCGTTGTGTCGTATAAAACACGCGACATCAGTACTGATGTAATTGGAGGCAGTACAATGTGACACCCCTCTGACATAGAACAGTCTGAGAAAGCATGAGTGAAAGGTCAGCCATTGTGCAGATGGACCGGGAAATGTGTATAGGACCCTAGTGAAAGCCCCCAGGAACAGCAACTTATATCTCCAATACCCTTTAAAAAAACTGGAACATTTGTGGAAAGAGACTACAATCATTGAAATATGACAGCTGTAACCGGCAAATCCACAGTGAAAGGAGAATTCGTTGGAAGTGTATGATTTGACCTCCGCCCAGCACCACCAGGTCAAACCTTAAAAATTATGTAAATTCATCGACAGATCTTTGAATAGCCCTTGAAAAATGTTGGTGAATTGAACTTAAAAACCTGTATGATGCCAGATTCGTATTTTACTTATACCAGTTGGCACTCTGCTCTGTGCCAATGGTGCACTATCACGGTTCTCCTTGTTTGTGTTGTGCTTAGTCTAAGTCAAGGTTTCAACTTTACTGCATTCGGGTCGCTTCGTTCGTGTGCCAGTGAAAATCAAATGTAATGTCGCTCACTGTCCCATATGAAAAACTGGTGAGCAAACAATTAATCTCAGCACAATCCAGAAATATGCGCATGTTGTAAATGCATATGGCAGTTGCTAAAGGTGCCAAAGCCAACTGTTGCCACCAGAAATGCATTTTGTCATTGATGGAAGTAGTCAGGAACAGCAAGCTGGCTATACACATGTAGAATTATTACATAAGGTATTTCACCAGCCCACACATACTGAATACCACAACTCAGCCGCTGCACAAAGGAAAGGCATTAACGTGAAAAAAACACAGCTTACAGTGCTGCATTAAGCACTAAACTCAGGTAGCGAAACCGTAGACTACCGTCCATATGTAGAAACTGCATTAGCAAAGCACTGTCTGAAGCAAAAATAACTTTTTAATATTCTGTCATGCCTAACCCTCCTCTGTGCAGTGTTAATATGATATTGCTAAAAGCCCTTGAAAAGGGGGAAAAAAAGTTGGTGGAATTTAGCGTAAAACTCTGTATGATGCCAGATTGATATTTTTATAGACTGGTTGGCACTCTGTGCATGGTGTGGTCGACATCACTTCAGCAACTTTTACTTCCCAGGACTTGGTACCTGTGGTTTTAGACTGGATCTACCAGGTAATTATTAAAAAAAATTGTCCAACTCTATGAATATGCAAACTTAAGACATTTGGGTAAGTGAGGTAAGTGTCTGGCTGCTACACGACGGCTCCCCTATTTCTGTTGTGCTAATTTTAAATTGCTATTGTATCAAACAGAATGGAAGAAGGATATAAGCGACTGCAGCAATTGAAGGAGGATCACGAGGAGCATCAAAAGGTGGGTATGCTACATTTGTTCGTTTTGCAGTCAACTGCTTTTGCGCATTGCTTAAAGCATCAGAGCCTAGCGTATGATACCACAAAATCCAGATGGAGAATTGAGTTGGAGGCAGTCACAGAAGCTGTCCGTGGGCTCAAGAACCAGCTACAACAACATGTCTTGATTGTAACAAACTCGCAAAGCATGCTGAGAAAGGTGGAGAGAGGCATGCTCCATACAGAATGGCAAACATTGCTTCTGTACAGTATTCTGTGTCTTTTGGATATTTTCTCTAGGGCATGCCAGTACTTTGGGAAAGGATTGGCTAATGCTGCATCCACTGGGTTGTGAATTGATGCAAGATTAGCCAAAAATGTTCAAGACCTTTTGGAAGCAAGTGAACAATGCAGAAGCATGAATAGATCATTGCAGTATGGAGAGAATGCTACAGTGATGAATGACCAAGAAATGTGGCCGACACTCTACATTCAGGGAAAAGGCAAACGAAAATATAATTAAACTGCTGTGGTTCGTTAGAATTTCTCCCTGTATGGGTTCTAAGGTCCTTGGGGGGGGGGGGGGGGGGGGGGTAAGACACCTGCTCCTTAACAAGCTCAGTTCTACCATGTGGATTCTGGCGCCCAATTGTAGGTAAAAAAAAATAGACCCACTGTCTACCCAAAAGCATGTCATAAGAGTTTATTAGGCTTTCTTCAAAATCGGATTGCATCTGCCTGAGAAGCACAGGAACTAACAGTCCACAGGAGTCAGGTTCTGAAATATGACTACAGTCCAGAAGTGGAGGAACAGCCTAAACTTTCCACTAGAGTTTACAGCTGGCAAACGCGAAGAAGAAGTGCAGTCTCCACTGTGAAAGTTAGCTGCAGTAAATCTCTACCAATCTCTGTCTCTCATCTTGGTTGTCTCTTATCTTATTTGTACACTCTCTCAAACTGCCATTCATCAATCTCTTGATGTTGTCCTCCCACTTGTAGCGTCTGTTTCTTGCCCTTGACCTTCTCCCCCACCCTCCAGTATTGTTTTTTTTTTTTAAAGAGTGTTATGTCTTTTAATGAGTTCGAAATATTTCAGGTGTCTCTTTTTTTATTACTTTCAGTAATTTTTTTTAGCTGTGAGTCTCTCTAGAACCACTGTATTTGATTGTTTTTTGTTTACCTCAAATACGACCTGTTCTTCTGTATATCCACATTTCCAAAAACTCATTTTTTCAATTTTCTAGTTTTTTATTCATTGTCCATGTGTCTGCACCGTATAGCAGGACTGAGTATTCATAAAATTTGATGATTCTCATTTAATTGTGTTATCTCTCCAGCTGTCAATATTTTTCCATCATTGAAGGTAGTTATTGCCAGTCTTATCTTTTTTTTTTAAAATTTCTGTTTTACTTCTGCTATCCTCTGTTATTACTTGTCCAAGATATGAGAAACTTGTTATGTGTTCTAATATCTCTCCGTTTACTGTGATGTTCACTGTTGGTCTCACCTTTCCATTGTTATAACAATGCTGTCATAAGAGTTGAGTTAAGAATTGACATCACAGCATTTGGGGCATTCCCATGCATGCTCCACCATCATCTTCAGCAGCCAGCGCAGAGTTCTAATACTGATGGTACCGGTCACAATCTGGTTAAATGTCTGTCTTGCCTTTCCTCTAAGTGTAGTGAGCCGGCAAGACCCTCTGGTTACACCCAGGTGCCTCATTCTCTCCAGGCCATAATAATCTTGTTTCTCTACTGATTCCGTTGCTTTTTCTCAAAAGGCCTTGACCAAATCTGCATTGTCTTTTATCAGTTAACCACCCAGTGGTGCAGATCTAGCCAGTTTGTATGCCTGTTCATTACCCACTACGCCAGCATAGCCTGGAGAATAGATCATGCTGTAATAAAAGTGATTAATGTAATTGAATAATGTCATAACAAAATTGCATTTAAAGTAAAATAGTTAATTTAATGTCATAAAGGTTAATGGAGTAATAAAATAGTTAATTTACAACACAATTCCTTCTTGGATTCTGGGGTCACATTTTGGGTGGAAGGCGACTAACTGGGGTTTTCTCAAATTGGATGTTAAACTGAAAAACCCAGATATTGGGACCTAGCATTAAACCACAACAGCTTGCCAACCGCCCTTTTGAAAGCTACGAGCAGAAGTTGAAGAAAGAACAGCATAATGCTTGACATAACAACATGGTCATTAGAGTAATATTGATGTCAATTATTGTTGCAGAAAATTCATATAAGGCAAAAGGAGATAGAAATGAAGAGGGAACTACTGAAAGAAGCAGAGAGAAGAAGGTAATTTATGTAAAATATTTATTACTGTAAATATCCTCTTCCCAGCTTTTTAAAATATTTTTGTTTTGTTTTAAATTTTGTCACATATCTATGGACAAGCATCAGACTGGCTTGTATCTTTGTATGTTCTGTTATCACAGTCAGTGTCACTGCACATAGGCATTCCCATGCATGCTCAGTCCTCTAATACAGCAGCCACTTCAAGTAACCTGTACTGATCATTCCCCTGAGAAGCTGGTTATACTCTCTCCAATCTGTCCTTGACTATCTCGGCCTTGACTATCTCAGCATTGACAGTCTCAGCTGTGACTATCTCGGCCTTGACTATCTCAGCATTGACAGTCTCAGCTGTGGCTATCTCAGCATTGACTATCTCAGCATTGACAGTCTCAGCTGTGACTATCTCGGCCTTGACTATCTCGGCCTTGACTATCTCAGCATTGACAGTCTCAGCTGTGACTATCTCGGCCTTGACAGTCTCGGCATTGACAGTCTCGGCATTGACAGTCTCAGCTGTGACTATCTTGGCCTTGACTATCTCGGCATTGACAGTCTCAGCTGTGACTATCTCGGCCTTGACTATCTCGGCCTTGACAGTCTCAGCTGTGGCTATCTCTGCCTTGACTATCTCAGCATTGACAGTCTCAGCTGTGGCTATCTCGGCATTGACAGTCTCAGCTGTGACTATCTCGGCATTGACAGTCTCAGCTGTGACTATCTCGGCCTTGACTATCTCGGCCTTGACAGTCTCAGCTGTGGCTATCTCGGCCTTGACTATCTCAGCATTGACAGTCTCAGCTGTGACTATCTCGGCCTTGACTATCTCGGCCTTGACTATCTCAGCTGTGACTATCTCGGCATTGACTATCTCAGCATTGACAGTCTCAGCTGTGACTATCTCGGCCTTGACTATCTCAGCATTGACAGTCTCAGCTGTGACTATCTTAGCATTGACTATCTCGGCATTGACAGTCTCAGCTGTGACTATCTCAGCATTGACTATCTCGGCATTGACAGTCTCAGCTGTGACTATCTCAGCATTGACTATCTCGGCATTGACAGTCTCAGCTGTGACTATCTCGACATTGACTATCTCAGCATTGACAGTCTCAGCTGTGACTATCTCGGCATTGACTATCTCAGCATTGACAGTCTCAGCATTGACTATCTCAGCATTGACAGTCTCAGCATTGACTATCTCAGCATTGACTATCTCAGCATTGACTATCTCAGCATTGACAGTCTCAGCTGTGGCTATCTCAGCTGTGGCTATCTCGGCATTGACTATCTCAGCTGTGACTATCTCAGCATTGACTATCTCAGCATTGACTATCTCAGCATTGACAGTCTCAGCATTGACAGTCTCAGCTGTGGCTATCTCGGCATTGACTATCTCAGCATTGACAGTCTCGGCATTGACAGTCTCAGCTGTGACTATCTCAGCATTGACAGTCTCAGCATTGACAGTCTCAGCATTGACAGTCTCAGCTGTGGCTATCTCGGCATTGACTATCTCAGCATTGACAGTCTCAGCTGTGACTATCTCGGCATTGACTATCTCAGCATTGACAGTCTCAGCTGTGACTATCTCAGCATTGACAGTCTCAGCTGTGGCTATCTCGGCCTTGACTATCTCAGCATTGACTATCTCAGCATTGACAGTCTCAGCTGTGACTATCTCAGCATTGACAGTCTCAGCTGTGACTATCTCGGCATTGACTATCTCAGCATTGACAGTCCCAGCTGTGACTATCTCAGCATTGACAGTCTCAGCTGTGGCTATCTCGGCATTGACTATCTCAGCATTGACAGTCTCAGCTGTGGCTATCTCGGCATTGACTATCTCAGCATTGACTATCTCGGCATTGACTATCTCAGCATTGACAGTCTCAGCTGTGACTATCTCGGCATTGACTATCTCAGCATTGACTATCTCAGCATTGACAGTCTCAGCATTGACTATCTCAGCATTGACAGTCTCAGCTGTGGCTATCTCGGCATTGACAATCTCGGCCTGGAAAGCCGCAAAGCTGTGATTCACCATGCTTTGTCTGGTGCTTCACCTTTGGTGCTGTCTGCCTAAAGACAAGATTTCCAGTTGTGCTAATGTCACGCCTCTTAGTGTATGCAAGTCCCAGTATGAATCGTGTACCATCCCAAGATTTTTTAACTTGGAGAAGCGAAGGAGACCACTGCAACACAGTCCCTGCAGAAATGATAGTGTGTATTGAGTCAAAAGGAAATTCCCTACAACCGCCGTATTCTCATAGAAGACAAACCTCTGAGGTTTTGGTGGAAACCTCCAATAACCTACCTCGAGGTGAGAGAATTGACTCCATTACGTTGAGTTCAGTCTCGTAGATTTCAGTATGTTTCCTACTGAAAGTTTGGTATAAAGCATGACACTCCTTAACCCTGGCAACTACCTCCAGGGATATCCAAAACACCTGTACTTATAAACCAAATGACAAGAGTCTGTAACTGAAATTATGACCTTTGGTGCATGAGGCAAAAATCAGTGCATCAGACTTGAATGTTCAACACTTGCCTTTTTCCAGGGAATTCGAAACCACTTCTCATCCCCTGCTTTCTCTAATTACCCCATCATAGTGTTAGAGGCAAATGTGAGGATTTTCTGTCTACTCTTTCTAATGCTTTGCAAAAGTTGATTTATTTGAGGCTGTCCTTGATGCCATCTTTTGCATGGTACCTTACTCTGTGTTTGTTATATTTCTTTAGCATAGGCTCTGTGTGGCAGTAGGTCCAGGACTTTCTTGTAAAATGGGCAAACCGTATGTCTCATCTGTTATTGTTTAATGAGCTGTATGAATGTTGTGTGTTGAATTAGGAATCAACATCACAGCACTCGGGATGCCCCATAAGTGCCCCCCCCCCCCCCCCCATCTTCAGCAGCAAGCGAAGAGTTAAAATTCTGATGTACCAGAAACTGTCTGATTGTATATCCATCTCAAATTTCCCCTGAGTCTCGAGCATCGGCCAGATCTCCTTGTAACATCCTCGCAGTGCTATTCTTCTCTGACCGTAATGATCTGTCTGTTCTTTGGTACTGATCTGTATGACTGGTTTCAGACCTAGTCTTCAGATGTCTTCATTTTAAATTGCATCTTCAGTTACTCTTACAGATGTTCTAAGATGTCACATCAGTGTGTTGTGATCTTACACTTGAAAGTTTTGTTAAGGGTCCATGTGTGACACTGGTAGGATAAAGTTGACCTTCTTCTTTGGTCACCGGCTGTAAGCTCTGGAGGAAACTCAGGGCCTGAGTTTGGCATGTATATCTTTTTTACTGGTTTATTTGTGTGCAGTTGGTTGTTACTTGACGCTCGAAGTAAGTCCTCAATTAGTTGACTTCTATGACATGCTTGTTAGGGAGGCAGTGGGTTTGTTCTTGTTTTTCCCCACAATGGGACCCGGAACTAATTGGGAGCTTCCTTCGAAGTCGGAGTGCATCTGCCTGAGATGCCGGGAACCAACAGTCTGCATACAAATTAGTCAAACGGATACACACGCAACACTCAGTTCTAGAACAGGACTGAAGTCCAGAAGTGGATGAACAACCAGAACTTTCCACCAGAGTTTACAGCCGGTGAAGGCAAAGAAGAAGAAGATAAAAGCTGACTTATTGTGGGTGTTTCCTTTAAACTCAGAGTGCATCTTACTGAAAAGCGAAGAACCAACATTCTTCATACAAATAAGACATATTTGTAAAACTGATGCATGCCCAAAACACAAATCCTATAACACGAATAAAGTCCAGAAGTGGTTGAACAACCAGAACTTGCTGGAGTTTACAGCCGGTGAGCACAAAGAAGAATCAGATAGTTTTAAACCATATCCAACAATATATCATTCTGACATTGTAAGCTCTCGTTGATTGATAGATTTTTACTTTGACATACAGAAAAGAGACTATATCAAAACTCCATAGCCTGTGGAAAGATGTGGAGAACAATCGACAAACCTTCATGCAGCATCATGATGCTTTCTCGCACAAGTCCAAGCTTCCTGAGATTGTCAATAAATACAGGGCAGTGTTGGATAAAGTGTGTTCCAGTCTCGCAGCTCAGGTACATAAGGTGTACTTAATCTTATACTTTGTTATCATTTATATTTTTTCAAAAACAGTCTTACAAAGAATCTTTGGACCATCAAAGATGCAAACAGCTGGGAAAGGACAGAAAGAGAAGCAACAATGAATTTCATAATCTGTTTAAATCACCAGTGATCACTGTCATCATGAGAGCTAATGATATGGTTGGGGCATGTTGAAAGTATGTCAGATGACAGAGAAGTAAAAACTACACAAGGAAGCTGAGTGGCCCTAAACCGCAAGGCAGACCGAGAAGACGATGGAGAGATAATATCCAGACAGACCCAGAAACACTTGGTGTTACCAGCTGGAAAGAGAAAGCCAGCCAGAGAGAAGAATGGAGGCGGATGTTGTCGGCAGCAATGAGCCTCAAGGGCTCCGAATGCTGAAGAAGAAGTATATTTGACTTGACTGACATTCAACTCCACCAGGACATAAAGACCCTGTGACACCAATGGCCAACATTCTGATCAGGATCACCTGGGGACTTGTCCCAGAAACCCCATTCAACGGTTAGGTTATATTAGGGCCCCTGATCACAGCCGGGAAGAGGTTTAAAAAAAATTTTTAAATTACATCCCGCTCTGGTACGCAAATTACTTGTAATCAGCATCATTTATATTTGTGCCGGTTAAAAATTAAAGATGTCTGTGTCTTTGAGAAGGCCTTTAGGCTAGACCTATATTTTATAGATTGTTCAGCATTTGGTGGGTGATTGGATCAACATCACTTTGGCCGCCTTTGCTTTTTTAGTGCTGGGTTGACCTGAGAGCCAAGGTAATGTTTGAAACAAGTCAGGCTCTGTCAGGACCCGAACCTGTCATCTTTGGGTCCACAGGCGAGCATCTAGCTGCAACACCACAGCGGCTGCCTATAAGTTGTTTGTGGATTAGGGGTAAATAAGTATAAACGTGATGTAGTTAGAAGCTTGTTCAACCAGAAAGATTTGCACTGAAGACACACTGGCTGCAGAAATTGAATCTCTCAAGTCAACTCTACTACTGAATGGGTTTCCCATAAAATTCATTAAACGTCACTGCACCCTAACCAACCCTAATCCAAACTAAAATTACAGTATCTAAACCACTAGTTTTCAACCAACTGACTTATCGAGGTGATGACGTCATGCAGAGTGCAAGACCAACTAAAAACATAAACAGCTTTTGGCCAATCATTCTTTACCGCTGTTACAGCAGTGTTACAGTAGTGAGGTACAAGAACACTCCTGTCCCAGCCCCCACCTATTAAGGAGCTTGTTATCGGTCGAAGGGAGAGAGCTTGCAAATAGAGTGGCAGAACACATCCCAAATGGCTACATGCACAGCTCAGTGTTTCTTCATGGATGTCAAAACAAGTCAAGAGGAAAGAACCCACTTTTTCCATACAACGTCATCTGCTTGATTCTGGTCACGCAATTGACACAGCAGCGAGGTGTACACACCATTTGGAGGTGACATGTTTTATTCCTGGCACGGTAATTATAGCTTTTGATTTTTATGTTGTCTAGTGTGTCTTTATATCTTTCTACTTCTTTTTATGGGTGCCTATCAGTGCATTATTTATTATATAATATTTCTACAACCTAAAGGGTCCCCCCCCCTTTGTTTATTTATTTGATTGTTGTTGAATTTCTACTTTACTTATGAGGTCTTGAACAGCGGATCAACATCATGGCACGCGGGTAGTAACCCATTAGTGCTCCGTTCTTCATATAACCATTAATGCTTCGTTCTTCTGATTCAAGTCAAGCACTGGTGATGATCCTGAAATACTTTAGGTAGATTTTAAATCTAAATTTTGCCCAGGTGGTGCCATTAGGATACTGTTTTCGATTTCCAACTGCCAATATATTTTTACATGTGCAACAATGCACACGGGCGTCACATCTCACTACCCAGAGACCAGGGAGAAATACTAGAAGTCTAAGTCCATGTGAAAAAATCCCAGCCCTTACTTGGGATTGAACCCGGAACCTCTAACACTCAAGGCGGACACCATGCCTCGAGACCAAGCAGCCCTCCCTACTTCAGTTATAAAGGATTTACTTGTACGCTTCATTTATGTAATTGTTACTGAAGTATGCACCTCACGAGATACAGCAAAATAAGCCAGCCAGTAAATTGCGCAGTCTGTTTTTGTGACTTCCTTGTTCAAATTCACAATGGGGAAACATTGCTTTGACTTGATTAGTAGCCTTCTATGTCATGCTTATTAAGGAAGCAGTGGGTCAGTAGGTCTGTTCTTTATTCCCTAAACTGGGGTCCTGGAGCTCTTACAAGGAGTCGCTGATGATCTGTTTTTTGTTACCTGTAGCTGCAGGCAGCAGAAAATCTCCCAGACATTGATCACCTGGTGGCCAAGTTTGAGGAGGACAAGCAGAAGAGTCAACATGCTCTGACCTTCCTTCACAAGCAGATTGGTAAGTGTTATCCTTTTAATCTTTCGTTACCTACTCTGAAGGCATGCTGAGAAAGGTGAAGACAGGGATGCTACAAGCAGAGTGGCAAGCTTCACTGGAAAGGTCACGGTTAGTGAGCATACTTTGGATCTTTTCTCCAGGTCATGCGGGCATAGTGGGTAATGAACAGGCAGAATTGATACCTGAAAGGCAGATATGGTCAAGGCCCTTTGGGAACAAGCAACGGAATCAGTAAAGAAAGAAGATTATTATGGCCTGGAGAGAATGAGGCACCTGGGTGTAACCAGATGTTCTGGCCAGCTCCCTACACTCAGAGCAAAGGCAAGAGGGACATATTACCAGATTGTGACCAGTACCATCAGTATTGGAACTCTGCGCTGGCTGCTGAAGATGAGGACGGAGCATGCATGGGAATACTCCGAGTGCTGTGATGTCAATTCTTGACTCAACTCAACTCAACTCTTTTGGTAACTGTAGATTTGTCAGCAAATCCTTGAGTGGGTGGAAAAATTATAAATACTATACAGAGACTAATACACAGTGGAATGGCCTCTTTCGTGGCCAGTTTTCCAGAGTATGGTTTGACCAGTGGAGACTGCTTGAAATCAAAAGTAGGATGGCCATAGCAATGCAAAATTTAAACAGTCTGTGGTTAAGCACCAGCAAGGAAATCAAATTAAAAATTTTGGGAGCATGCATCTTCCCTATAGCAATATATGGATGTGAGTCTTGCAATATCTCCCAGTTCTTAAGAAAGAAAATAGGGACTTTTGAGCTGAAATGCAATAGAAAAATTCTCAGAATACCGACAAAGAAGAGAAGAAATACTGACATTTAAAATAATCCGAACATCAAAGAAGATTTGCTAATAAACAGCATCTTGTCTCAAAAGCTGAAATATTTTGATCATATCAAATGCAATGGCGGGCTGGGAAAACAATTTATTGTAGTCATAGTACCAGGAAGGAGGGGCAGGGGCCAACCAACACAAAGATGGGCACAGCATATAAGCGACTTCTTAAAAATGAAAATACATGAGGCGAGAGATCTAGGTGAGCAACTGAGTTTCTTTCAGGCAAACTGTGATGGGAGCGACCTTCTGCAAAGGACCTGCTACATGATGGTGGTTTTACTGAATGTAAAAACATGAATAAAAAAACATTATTCATCGGCTGTGTTTCAGGGAATATCCCATCACACTATGTGCATGGCTTGGTGCTGAAAGAGTTGACGCTTGTTCTCTCTAACAAGTATCGGATAGCTTGGCTGGCACTTTTACAGTGTCATTTTTTAAAAAAAGTATTTAGTACTGCTTTTGTTTTGTTTAAAGTGAAGACTTTGGCCCCCAAATAATATCATAATATCGCCCCAGTGGATGTTTGGAAATATAAGTAACATTATATAAGTAACATTATATAAGTAAAATTATATAAGTAACATTATATAAGTAACATTATATAAGTAACATTATATAAGTAACATTATATAAGTAACATTATATAAGTAACATTATATAAGTAACATTATATAAGTAACATTATATAAGTAACATGAAACGGTTTTACTAAAAACAGTAAAAACCTGTCTGCTAAATGTAGAAGTATTAGAGATTTGAGCTTAATCAACAGCTTTTAGCTCCATACAGTAGTTTTAGAGAGTTCGGCTGAAGTAAATTTTAGTCGAATGAATCATGTCCTGATAATCCTATGTCATACACATGTGCATACTTACAATCATACATGTGCACAGAAACACACTAACACATACTTGCACGTGCATATTGTTGTTGTTGTTGTTGTTCGTCCATCACAAGTGATAAAGACCACTTTCATCCAAAGTAACAAAGATCAGTGATTGTGAGTGCAAAGGTGGCTGATTAGTCCAATATGAGAATATGAGCCTAAAAAAGTTCTTGAACAGTGTGGACAACAGGTAGAAGCCGCAGTAAATGTGGGATTAGCGATACGGTTTTTTCTAGTCTGCCTCCGTTTCTCTGCCTGTGCAACCTCCGCTGCCTGTCAGGCGGATGTACCATGCCTGAGGGATGTACGCCATCCAGCACGGTCTTGTGCAGCAGCCTCCCATGTGCATATATACACACACTAAGGTAGACAAAAATACATGTGTCCACACACTAACACACACACATGCATACATGTGAACGGGTCGTTTACTTTTTTACTTTAATGGTCCTCAGAAGAAACTGATCAGAGAATCAGACTTGAGGAACAACAGCAGAGGGAACTGGATAAAAAGAAAGCTGCTGATGCTGCGAATGTAAGTTCCAGTTTGTCTTTGATTCGGCAAATTGTGTCATAGAATCGTCAGCTTCGGGAAAGCTAACCAGGTCAACAAATGCCTGCAGAAGTCGGATGTGTTGGCCGAAAGGTGCAAATATCGCAGTCAAGCTGTAAACGGACACTACGCAATTACATCTTCGGATGAACGCAGAAGAAGAATCGTTAGCTGACTGCTCTTTGGAAGCGGGATCCTTCGCTACCTCCCTTAGCAGCCTGGTTATTTCTGTCTCCAGTCACTTGCAGACTTCTCACTCGTGCACTGACAGTCAGCTCAACAGTTGAAAGATGGACGACACTGAACGACATGATGCCAAGTCAATATTCATTATTCGTTCGCTCGCTGATTCTTTGGCCAGTACATGGTGAGGCATAAACATAGTCTAGGTGTATAATACATTGAATAAAGTCAACGTTACCTTTCGGACGAATACACAGATGTCCTGTGACAATTCTCCTCAAACTCAAATATGTTCAGCGCTGACTGTGTCAGATTTTAGCTAAAGGCCAGGTTGGCCGTTGAAACTCACAAACACATCGGATGCATGCTTTCCTTTATAACTGGATACAAACACTTTATCCACTTCACATGCATACAGTTTCTTGACCCAGACAAGACTGCTCTCGCACTAGCACTGTCTACAACTGTTCTATTGCGTTTCTGTTGTTAGGTGGCCGAAAAGAAAAGTCAAGGCAGATAGCTCGTTGACAGCTCTATGACAGGTTTAGCAGTTAAATGACAGGTTTAGCAGCTCAATGACAGGTTCAGCAGCTCCATAACAGGTTTAGCAGCTCCATGACAGGTTTAGCAGATCAATGACAGGTTTAGCAGCTCCATGACAGGTTTAGCAGCTCCATGATAGGTTTAGCATCTCCATGACAGGTTTAGCAGTTCAATGACAGGTTCAGCAGCTCCATGACAGGTTTAGCAGCTCCATGACAGGTTTAGCAGCTCCATGACAGGTTTAGCAGTTCAATGACAGGTTTAGCAGCTCCATGACAGGTTTAGCAGCTCCATGACAGGTTTAGCAGTTCAATGACAGGTTCATCAGCTCCATGACAGGTTTAGCAGCTCCATGACAAGTTTAGCAGTTCAATGACAGGTTTAGCAGCTCCATGACAGGTTTAGCAGTTCAATGTCAGGTTTAGCAGCTTCATGACAGAGGTGTATATCTTAAACACAACTAAACCGACACCGTCAGAGCATAGACACCAGCCTTTACTATAATTTACAACAAGCAGTCGGTAGTTCATCTCGGAGGCGGCTCGCTAACCCTACCTCAACCGGCCGGAGTGTTTTACACTCGCTCTGGCTCTAAGTATAGAACCTCCATCCATTGAATGTTTAATGGTCCTAAAAATAAATAGCATTATATTGTTGGCATTGTGCATGCTAAATCTTTGGCTAAAAAAAAATCATGTTTGCTTTTAGAATCGGAGTACATATCGGCCTGAGAGATGAGAAACCAACAGTCTGCATACACATACCCAAATCTTTAAAACTAATGTGCAAAACACAACCTAAGTTCCAGAATAAGTCCAAAGTTAAAAAATGAGTGAATAACAGTACTTTCCACAAGCGCTTATGCCTTAGTGTTCAAATTTGATATTTTACCAGTAGAATTTGTGTGTGTGAGAGACTTGTTTACAATCTTTATAATTTTTTTACAGGTGAAAAAACAGGAACAGGCTATGGCACAAGACTTATCAGGTGAGTAACAGGTGTCATCCAGGGGCCATCTTCACATTGAAGATCACACACAGAGTCTCCAGAACTTATGTGTCCAGGATCCTTTTGGCGTACCTAGAAAGGCTTCCTCCAGTCCAGGGGAGGGGGTTTTCAACTCCAAAGTTTGCTGGGGCAGCGTCGTCAGACTACTATTTTTCGATTTCCAACTGCCAAGGTGTTTTTTTTTACTACGTGCACAACAATGCACACGGGCGTCCGATCTGATTACCCAGAGAAAAGGGGAAATTACTAGAAGTCCACATGAAAAAATCCATGCTTTCACCGGGGTTTGAACCCGGAACCTCTAGTGCTAGAAGCAGATGCCATACCTCAAGACCACTCAGCCCCCTTAGGTCAAACAGGAAGATCCCAAAAATGAAAAGAGATGTATATCATAAGTTATTTGAGAGATAGAAAGAAGGACACTACAAAAGTCGGCGTGACTGTAATAAATGAATGCTGGATATTTGACCTGTATGTTTTCATTTGTTTTTCTCTTACAGTTCAGTCACTAGCTGTGATCATGGTTGAGTCTGAGAACAAGTCCAGACTGCTGGCAGAGATGGAAGCTCAGATCAAACCTTTCATTGACAATGCCAAGGTGAGTGCATTCAAATGTCCAGGTAAAAGTACATTCGGGAGATGTAAACCAACGTCATTGCTCATGGTTATAAACCATAAGTGCTCTGCCACCAGTACGAACAGCTGATAAGACACTGTCCACCTGTGTTGCCGTCCGCACGTAACTCTGTATCTACAGCGATGTTCCTCCATTTACCACAGAGTGTTAACTCTGGTATCCATTACCTAGAGGCTGGGTGAACTCCGGGAACTGCCCGGTTTCGATTACTGGCCGTAGGTTGTAGCGAGTCGCAGCTAGATTTGAAAGCAAGACTCCTATCGACTGCGCTAACGCCCCTCCCCCCCAAGTGTCCAGGTATCTTGTGTTCAACTCATTTGTTAAAAGTGTACTCACCACGTATTTGGGAGCCACTGTGGGATAGCGGCTAGACACTTGTCTGCAGATCCGAAGGGCATAGGTTCCGGTCCTGATGGAGCTAGCCTTTTTCAAAACAAAACAATTACCCTGGCTCCCAGGTCGACCCAGCCTTAAATGGATAACAGGTAAAGTCATGGGAAGTAAAGGTGGCTGGCATGATCTTAACCACATCACCCACCGAGTGCTAATTCAATATGTCTGAAAATGTGGAAAAGGTTCCTTTTTTACCACTTTGAGTGTTGAGTGAGATATAAGGTTCTCAATTAATCTTTTCTTCCTTTTTTACCACTTCGAGTGTCGAGGGAGATTTAAGGTTCTCAATTATTCTTTTCTTCCCATTTTTTTACCACTTCGGGTGTCGGAGGAGATATAAGGTTCTCAATTATTCTTTGCTTCCTCTTTTACCACTTTGTGTGTCGAAGGAGATATAAGGTTCTCACCTATTCTTCTTTGCTTTCTCTTTTACCACTTTGGGTGTCAATGGAGATATAAGGTTCTCAATCAATTCCTTACCTGCACAGTCCTGGAGACAGCACTAACCATGCGGCCGTGGGTTCCAGAACCCCTTGTGGGGAAAACAAGAGTAGACCCACTGCATCTGCCCGAGAGACAAGGAACAACCAACTGCTCACAGTAAGCCAGGAAAACAGATGTGCACGCAAAACTCAGGCCCTGGCACACAGCCAAAGTCAAAATGGACGAACTGCCAGGACCTTCCGTCGGTAAACAAAGAAGAAGGTAGCAAATACTTTTCAGAATTATAGTTCTTGATAAATGTATTAACAAAATGTAAATGTGCTTTCTGTTTATTTCCTTACAGAATAAAGCATTTCGTTTCACCATCCAGCGTGTTGTAAATACCCCAATCAACGCCATCTCAGATTACAGCGGCCCTCATCTAATAGACAAGATCAGGAAGCTGAAGGATCTGCTAGGTGGACAAAAGGTCAGAGAGCTTCTTCAGGAGCACAACAGCAAGAATCCAGGGAACATCCTTCCTCAGACTGTAGCTCAGGAAGCACACCTCTTCTGTCAGAACCTTGTGGCCAAAATGCTTGTGGTAAATTTTTTCTTTTATGGTATGGAAATTAAGGCTGACTAAAAAAGAAGAGAGCCAGCGAATTAAGTCTAAAAGATAGGGATTATGGTGTAAGCTGTATGCAGTGGCAAAGGGTAAGGTCGTGGGTTCGGATCCAATGGAGACGGTTTTTTCGTAAATGACCTGGGCTCCCAGGTCGACCCAAGACTGTCTTCATCTGACGGGCCATGCTGCTAACGTCACCAAACTGGGCTAACGATAGAGTTTTTACTCTGACGGTCCAGTTTTTTTCGGTGTGTTTCCTGCTGTCCCTCACAAAAATTATAGGAATACGCTTGAGAATTAAACATATATAGTTACACACAATATGAAAACATAGAAACAAAGTACAACAAAAACTACTTACATTTTTAGCTGCAGTATGTCCCATAATGTAATCACATAATCTTCTGTAAATTTAAATTATTAAGTTTTCTTTTCTTGGATGATTTATCCAGCAAGGATGTATCGTTTTGGACTTTCCTTTAGTTATTCAGAAAAAAACATTTCCCAGAGATGGCTGCACTGTGGAAGCAATGTTTACTTTAGAACAACCTTCACCAGAGTCATCACCTATTTCCAAAAACAGCCATTTCAAAGAAAAACTCATTGTCCCCTTAACAAGTATGTCATAAAAATTCAGTAAACAGGGCTGTTTCCTTTAGAGTTAGTGCACATTTGCCGGAGAGATGAGGAACCAACAGTCTGCATACAGGTAAGCCAGATGTGTAAAACGGATGTACATGCAAAACTCTGGAAAAAGAGCAGTCTAGAAATGGACTGCTGGAGTTTATGCGGGAGGGGGGCAATGCTAAGAAGAAGAAGGGAAGAAGCAGCATGCAACAGCAGGAAGAAGGAGAGCGAGGAAGAAGTAGAATAAGTAAGATTGAGGAGGAGGAAGGAGGAGGAGAAGGAAGAATGAAGAGGAGGGAGAAGGTGGAAGAGGAAGAAGGAAAAAGAAAGAAGAAATTATCTTTTGCCAGTTCTTCTTTATGGAGCAGAATGCTGGTGAATGACCAAAAAGGATGCACACAAGCTGTCCACCTTCCACCACACATGTCTACGTAGAATTATCAAAATTTTCTGGCCAGATACAATCTTAAACACTAAACTACTTCAAGCCACAAACCAAGAAACTTTAGACAGTATGATTACCAAGAGAAGATGTAAATGGCTTGGCCACGCTATGAGAATGACTTCTGATATACCTGCCAAAACAGCTCTCACATGGACACCAGAGGGAAAGAGAAAACAGGGGCGCCCAAAAACAACATGGAGACGAACGATGGAAAGTGACCTGATTGCGGCATCTTTGACATGGAAAACTGCACTGACGATTGCACAGGACAGGAAAGCATGGAAAGTCCTCTCTGAAGCCTAATGTGCCACTAGGCCTAACGAGAACTGATGATGATGAAGTGGTGCTGGAAGAGTTGAAGCAGCTCTACACTAAAGTGGTTTAGCTGATTGCCTTGTGCTCTGTCTTGATGAAATGAATGCCAGGACCCTTCCTTTGAATTCCATGTGCAGGTGTTTCAGAGATCGAGTGGGCTGTTTGGTCACTGGAGCTGTGTATTTGGAGCTGGTGTGTTTGGAGCTAGTGTGTTTGGAACTGTGTGTTTGGAGCTGGTGTGTTTCATGCTTTGGGCTCTGCAGAGGCTGAGCCATTCGAGGTAATCATCATCATGTAGCAGGTCCTTTTGCAGAACGTCGCTCTCATCACGGTCTGCCTAAAAGAAATTTGGTCTCTCGCCAGATCTGCAGCCTCATGTACTTTCATACTCAAGGAGTCACTTATATCCTGTGCCCATCTTCGTGTTGGTCGGCCCCTGCCCCCCCTTCCCGGTACCATGCCTTTTGCTATTATTTTTTTCCAATCCGTCGTGGCGCTTGATATGACCAAAATATTTCAGCTTCCAAGACAGGATGCTGTTATTTAGCCAGTCATTTAATTACTACAATTATCTTGCCATTAAATGCATCTCTTATGCCTTTCTTTTTCACTGGAGTATATGAACTAGGTCTTCATAAGTTTGATTTCTTTTTTTCTTTTCTCTTTATTAGAAAAAAGGTGAGGAGCAGGTGACCTCGAAACACGAATCAGCTTTTCCTATCGGCATTGTAGTTGTGGCCCTGTGGGTGGAATTCCCCATCGTGGGTGAGCTGTTCCAGGCACACCTGCAGACTCTGTGTCCCTATGTCTTGCCTAAATATGCAGTGCACCAGAAAGGCCAGTCCAGTATAGATTACCATAAGTAAGTGCATGTCATCGTCTTTATCATCATCATTTTTATCATCACCACTACCGTCATCTTTATTATTATCTTCATCATCATCGTCTTCTTCATCATCATCATCATTGCGATCATCGTTATTCTGTCAGAAAAATAATGCGACGTGGATTGGGGCTAAACTAGATGGCTGGGACTCGCGAGCAAATAAAATGAAGGCAGCTGCAGGAAATGCAGTAGCTGCTGCTCGTGAGTCCTAGACATCTAGTTTAGCCCTAATCCACACCGCTCATGCAGCGTATGGGATACTCTCGGCGGAAGTCACCGGAAGTGCGCAATTCAAGTCGCCGGAAGTGCGCAATTGACACTTGACTGAGGCCCTGTTAGGGTATATTTTCTGCCTCGATAATTTGGAAGCGTTATTCGGAAGATAGCCCTTAGTACTTGACTCTTTACGGACCAGACCCAACTTTAGTGACTTTTTAATCCATCATATTCAGACCAAAAAATGAATTTGTATGAACATGTTTTGCGAAACTAGAATTAGCGGGAAAAAAAGTCTTTTCGATTTTGAAGTTTGGCCTGGTGTTTGGGCCACTTTCTGATTTCTTTTTAACATTCAGCATTTAACATCCAACATTCAGCACTCCATGGGTAATGTTGATGTGGTCATCATCACACTGGCCACCTTTACTTCCCAGAACCCTTCCTGCTACCCCATATTAGGCTGGGTCCACCTGAAGCCATTGTCATAAAGAAAAGAAAATACAAGATTGCGTATTTGAACCTAAGACTTCCCTGTGTGGCTTCCAGGGCCCCATTGTCGGGGAAAATGAGAATAGACCCACCGCCTCCGCCCAAAAAGCAGGTCGAAGGAGTCGACTGGGGCCTTCCTTCGAGGTCAGAGCGTATCTGCCTGAGTGAGCGGCAAGGAACAACCAACTGCAGACAAATCCACAGGAAAACGGATGTACAGGCAAAACTCTGGCCTTGATCCAAGTGGATGAACAACCAGGCGATCTCTGTGGCGAAGCCGTTGGCCTCATGCTCTGAAGATCATGGGTTCGCTTGACGTCTAAGCCTTTCAGTTCACGAGTGCAGTTTTTATGGAGATCATTGGGGACCTTCGCCGGAGCTATGGAGTTCGTGCGCTGCGCTCTTGGCAGGCAGCTAGCAGTTCTGCGGAGAGAGACTGAGCCATATGGGATAAAATCTGGTGCAATGAAGTCGATCCTCTCGACTTTACCTTTCCGCCAGAGCTTACAGCTGGTGAACAAAAAAGGAGAACTTGAGACCTTAGGGCCAGCTGGTGAGTATCTGGTGACAGTGCTACCTCACTTTGGAGGTAGCAGAATATCCTTTGGTTATTTTCTCCAGGTTATGCTGGTGTGGTGGGAAACAAGCAGACAGATAGACTGACTGGTTCTGAAAATTTGGTGGTGAATTGATCTATGACAAGTCAGATGTGAGGGCCCTTTAGGAGCGAGCGAACAGTGAGGAGGCGCAAATAGATAACCAAGGTCTGAGGAGAATAGCCATACGAGGAGTTACCAGGCTGATGCTCAACACTCAGGGGAAACGGGAGACAGATATACAATCAGACAGTTACTGGTGCCATCAGAATTGGAACTCTCCATTTGCTGCTGAATAGGGGAATGGAGCGCTTATGGGAGTGTCCCGAATGTTTCGATTCCTAATTCAATTTTGGCTACCTTAGCTGCCTAGGATGATTGGTTGATAATGAGTTATGTTAGGTGGGGGGGGGGGGATGATTAGTTTAGATGGCTTTTGGATGTTCCAACCAAACCCCCCCCCCCCCCAATCAAGCAGGCTCTACTAACCTCCTCCTCCTTTGCACTCACCAGATGTAAACTCCTCCTGAAAGTTCTGGTTGTCATACGCTTCTGGACTTTAATCTTGACCCAGAACTTGAGTTTTGCTTGCACATCTCTTTTACAGAGCTGGCTTATTTGTGTGCAGACTGTTGGTTCCCCCCCCCCCCCCCCCGAATACGAGGTGAAATCAGATGTAAGCTGGAGAGAAGAGAACTCTCGGCATTACCCGAGACAGTATTTCAATATCTTTTAATTAGAGTAGGTCGTGTTAACATTGCCGAAGGGGGACTTAATGAACCAGCCAACAAGGCACTTGATGATGATGGACTGTAGGTTTATTTTTGGGAGTAACCCTGTTTTTCACACACACACAAAGTTGTGCCACACACTTCCAAAAATACAAAACAGCCATAGGTAATTTTTGGAGGGCTTCAACAAATTAAAATTTTTGACATTAATTTTCAGGCTTATGTTCTCAGCACTCTGCTTTATGGCAGTGAAACGTGGTCAGCAGCCTATTTGCACCAGGAGAGATAGTTAAAAAGCTTTCACATGCAATGCCTAAGAAGAATACTTGGCATTAAGTGACAGGACAAAATCACTAACACTGAGGTTTTGGAAAGAGCAGGTACTACAACAGTCTTCTCAATGCTGTCTACGAAGGCTTAGGTGGCTGGGTCACACCTGTAGAAAGGAGGATGGCAGGCTCCCTAAGGACATCCTTTATGGTGAATTAAAGATGGGTAGACTAGAAGATGTCGAGGTCCACCTCTTCTACGATATAAAGATGTGTGCAAGCGGGACATGAATGATACATGTATAGAGGTGGACTTGGAACAAAATGCCATGGCCCATGTTGTGTGCAGTGATGACATCAGGAAGGGAATAAAAATGAAGGATAAAAAATTACTACAGAAAGGGTCAGAGATGAGCGTCTGAGAAGAAACGGACTGAACCCATATGTCGACACCAGTGTTCTTGAAATCCGTTTTTATATAAATATGGAAGACTTTTCCCAATGCGGGCAAGTCTTGGTAGTCTCACTTGCCATCGCCATGGGCTGCGAGTCCCATGCCTCCTCATAGCGCAGTATAACACTATCATCTGGAAAGACAGAAAGGTGCCAATCAGATGTGTTATTCACCATATAAGCTCAGCCTTGGAACAGAATAAATTCATCTCCTGAGATTCCAATGTATTTTTTTGGCCAGCAGGGAAGTGACTTGTCTCTATACAGTAACGTTCCAACCTTACTAGGCTAACGGATATGTTCTGGATTATCTGAACTTGTCATTGGCCCTATGATGGATAACTTATCCACAAATGCCTTTCTTTATCGGTCAGTCAGTCAGTATCATATCCTTTGCAGACCCTTACTCCCGAAACAACCTGCCGGAAAACTTCTTGATCACAGGCAAGATGTCCCATGTCTGAGAGACCCATCTGGAGATCATCCGCCACATCCTGCAACCATCCTTCCTTTGGCCTTCCTCTCTTCCCAGGCATATAAACCTCCATTATTGCTCTTTCTAAACTTTTGTGATGTTTCTATTGACCAAAATATTTCAGTTTTCTGTGTTTATCATATTTAACAGCCAACCTTCTTCAGTATTCAGTTCTTGAAGTATTAATGCATTTGTTCTTCTCTTTACCCGTGATATTCTTAGAACCCACCTGTAGCATTTGTATTCAAAGGCATTTATGCGCTGTTCAGCTTGTTTAGTAATTGTCCAGGACTCACAGGCATATGTTGCCTTTATCTGTCAATAGAATTCAGATAGTCTTATTTCAGCATTCTCTCTTATTCCTTCCCCACCATGCAACAGGCCTAGCAAGCCAGCAGTTGTAATCAACTGCTACTACACACAAAAAGAAGGAATTATTAAATTATCATCATCATCATCATGTGCCCTACCAACTTGCATAGGCGCTCTTGTGTCTCCACAGATCACGATCCCTGGCTGCCGGGATCAACTCTTTCGATGATATCCCTCCCTGCCATCGTTTCAGCCCATCCAGCATCATCCATGCAGCATCGTCTCTCTTGGTCTGTCTCTATCCCTTTTCCCACTGATCTTTCCAGTTGTCACGATGTTCTTCAATGTTTATCGTCTCCTTTTGTGGCCAAAGAACAGTGTTTGTCTCTTTTTTATTGATTGAATTATACACTTTGTCGAACAAAAATATTTTTTTTTTACATTGTTATGCATTTTATTTTCAAGGTCACTTGGTTACAAAGTTTCTGAGGACGGCACAATCGAGGAGCAGGACAAATTCCTACGTCGCATGTCTGGTCTCATGAGACTGTATTGTGCATGCATGGTCGCCCCGTTACCCCCAGACGTCAACTCCACACATCCACATGGACTTGAGAATGCCTGGAAATGGCTGGCACGGACTTTGAACCTGGAGCCACAGCCTGACGTGACGGCGGCAATGATCTTCGACCTTTTGTCTGTGACTGGTAACTTCCTGTTTAAAGAGTATCGAGTCCAGTTTGCCAAATTGCTTCATTTATTGTACAAACACTACCTCCCTAAATTGGAGAGCGTATCTGTTACAAGTGGGACAATCGGTAGATTGAAAATATTTCTAGAGACGGCCATGCAAAATGCTGGTATACCTCCGCCTGATGGGTTGTTGCTGCCAGATTTCTTCTTCAAACCACCGGATCCTGTATCTTGACAACTTATCGGCATATAACATTTGTAAAGATTTTTTGTTTTTGTTTTAGTATATAATGTTTGTAGTTTTTTTTGAAAATATTGTTTGTAAAATGTTTGTGTGAACATGTATGTTTATTATGACCTTGTTAATATGTACATTATTGTTATTGTTTGTGAGTCAGAAACTCACACATTAAGAGAACTTATTGCCCGCTTCGGAAGGAGACACTCTACATTCTTTAGTATTATCATGAGAAGGAGAAAACTGAAGTACAGTGGGAAAGTTGGAGGGGAAAAAGACAAAGGAAGACAGAGAGAAAATGCTCACTGAACGCCATGGCAAAGAGGATCATCTGTGTCAGAATTAGCTGAAAGACACAGGACAGCAGATTGTGGATAGACATAGTTACCAACACCCTACTGAAGGGTCTAGAAAAAGACTGCATACTGTTCTAATTATGAAGGATCCATGGCTCTAAGAGTGCCAGACTGTTGTTATTGATCCAGCGGCGCATGAGCTTTCGCCCTTTGGCCCAATGCCATGTAGTGGAATTTACCTGTTTTCACAAGCTGTTCTTTTTCTCCGTACAAGGTGTTGCACCTGTCTGGTCTCGGAGGGAGTAGCATTCTTCTAGTCTTGTTGAGTTTTAGGCATTCAAAGAGGTGATGGTCAACACTCTCGTAGGGGTAGTTACATAGCTGGCACTCTGGGGAGTGTTGTGGCTGTATTCTGTTTAGGTGTCCTTCGAGTGGAGTATGTTGTGTTTTGAGTCTGAAGATGGTGGCCTGGTCCCTTCTTGTTAGATGGTTAATGCTGTTGTTAGGATCAGGGCCAGCCATGTGTCTATAAACCTCTCTTCCAGTATCTCCCATCTGTTCAGCCAAGTCTCTTTGTTTATAGCTTTTATAAGTGTTTTTGCTGTTGGTAGGGTTGTCACTGTAGGTGGTTGTTCTTGTGTTGCTCCTTTCTTTGCCAGTCTGTCAGCTCTGTCATTACCTGGTGTGCCGGAGTGGTCTGGAATCCACTGCATCACTATTCTGATGTTTGTATGAGGTAATGAGCTGATCAGCATCTAGAATTATCTTAGCTATGTTAGTTCTGCAGCGTTCACTGCTCTCCAGAGCTTGAAGAGCAGGCATTGAATCGGTGAAGATGACAATATTTTGGGCCTTTGAAGGATAAACATCCATTACAGTCTTTAGGTGGTATACTGCTGTTTCCAGTTTAATTATTTCAGCTTCGTAATTTGAGTAGAGTGCCAGGCAGACAGCTTGACTGCTTTGCCATGGAGACAACCTGTGTTTGTAATCATTTTCTCCATTTGTCTCTGTTGCTGTGTGGGTTCAATTCTAGGACATTCTAATTATATTGTTATATTTTTCAGTGTCTCTCATCCAGTCCTCTTGATTCGCTGGAATTTGTTTGCTTCTGTTAATAAATCATTGTTTAGTCCCAGTTCCTAATCCATACAGCAGTTAGTCCTCTTGTGCCTAGCGTGGCACATAGGGCAGAGGTCATAGCTCTCCATGTCTGGTGGTTCGTTGTCACCTGTTTTAGGTCTTGGGTGTTCATTAGGCCAATGATTTTGAGCCTTTCCTGTTGATGGTTCTACGTAGGGTCTCTCCTGGTCTTCCCATTTGTTCCCCTTCTGGTGTCCAAATGAGGGCTTGATTGACGAGTCTTGACTTATCTATTCTGAGTGTAGCCGGTGTAGTTCCAGCGGCCCTCTCTTATAAAATTAGATATGCTATCTTGCTTTGTCTCTTGTCTTATTTATGAATTGGATCTGAAATCTGTCCGGTGGAGGTTTAGTATTCGTCTAAGACATCTGTTCTCACAATTTTCTAATGTTTTAATTAGAGCTACCATTACTTTTCAAACCATTGCATCTATAAGTTGCCACTGGAATCACACAAGAGTTGAAGATCTTGAGTTTTTGTGTGTTTGCTGAATGTCTTTGAGTCTCAGATGTTTGATAGTACACAGCACAGTTTACCGATTTAATTTAGAAAATGTCATCAATAAAATTCAGTCATCATCATCATTTCCAATTTCAATGGGAAGAAAATGAAACAGTGTAGTCTCTCTCGGCAAAGCATATATACAAATCAGCAATTTTGCACACTGTTGCACCACCTTACCAGTCATGCACATCTTGCGATCTCCAACGATCCTGATTGTTTTGAATCTTGAAATGCAAACCTTCTTGTGTTGTGACACACAACCTTTGAAAATGTTAATCTGTTTTTGTTGTTTGCTTGTCATGCATTTTTTCTGTTTGTGTCTACTTTCAAAACATTTCAAACAACGCATCAAGACTTTACAAAAATACTTTTATTATATGATGTCATAGAGTCAAAACCAAATAGTTTCAGGATCAAAAAGTTTCATAACCAAGTCAGAGTCAGACCAACTTGACCCCCCACCAAAAAAAAAAGTTGTTTTGTTGCCCATTAGTTGATCAAGTAGTCCCAGGGTCAGAACAACTTAGTTGATCAAATAGTTCCAGAGTCAGAACAACTTAGTTGATCAAATAGTTTCAGAGTCAACCAACATTAGTTGATCAAATAGTCCCAGGGTCAGAACAACTTAGTTGATCAAATAGTTCCAGAGTCAGAACAACTTAGTTGATCAAAAAATAGTTTAAGAGTCAACCAAACATTGGTTGATCAAATAGTCCCAGAGTCAGAACAACTTAGTTGATCAAATAGTTTCATATCCGAACCAACATGTTGGCCAAACAGTTTCAGAGTCAGACCAACTTAGTTGATCAAATAGTTCCAGAGTCAGAACAACTTAGTTAATCAAATAGTTTCAGAGTCAACCAAACATTAGTTGATCAAATAGTTTAAGAGTCAACCAAACATTAGTTAATCAAATAGTTTCAGAGTCAACCAAACATTAGTTGATCAAATAGTTTAAGAGTCAACCAAACATTAGTTGATCAAATAGTTTCAGAGTCAACCAAACATTGGTTGATCAAATAGTTTCAGAGTCAACCAAACATTAGTTGATCAAATAGTCCCAGGGTCAGAACAACTTAGTTGATCAAATAGTTCCAGAGTCAGAACAACTTAGTTGATCAAATAGTTTCATATTCGAACCAACATGTTGACCAAACAGTTTCAGAGTCAGACCAACTTAGTTGATCAAATAGTTCCAGAGTCAGAACAACTTAGTTAATCAAATAGTTTCAGAGTCAACCAAACATTAGTTGATCAAATAGTTTCAGAGTCAACCAAACATTAGTTAATCAAATAGTTTCAGAGTCAACCAAACATTAGTTGATCAAATAGTTTAAGAGTCAACCAAACATTAGTTGATCAAATAGTTTCAGAGTCAACCAAACATTGGTTGATCAAATAGTCCCAGAGTCAGAACAACTTAGTTGATCAAATAGTTCCAGAGTCAGAACAACTTAGTTGATCAAATAGTTTCAGAGTCAACCAAACATTAGTTGATCAAATAGTCCCAGGGTCAGAACAACTTAGTTGATCAAATAGTTCCAGAGTCAGAGAACAACTTAGTTGATCAAATAGTTTCATATTCGAACCAACATGTTGACCAAACAGTTTCAGAGTCAGACCAACTTAGTTGATCAAATAGTTCCAGAGTCAGAACAACTTAGTTAATCAAATAGTTTCAGAGTCAGAACAACTTAGTTAATCAAATAGTTTCAGAGTCAACCAAACATTAGTTGATCAAATAGTCCCAGGGTCAGAACAACTTAGTTGATCAAATAGTTTCAGAGTCAACCAAACATTGGTTGATCAAATAGTCCCAGAGTCAGAACAACTTAGTTGATCAAATAGTTCCAGAGTCAGAACAACTTAGTTGATCAAATAGTTTCAGAGCCAACCAAACATTAGTTGATCAAATAGTCCCAGGGTCAGAACAACTTAGTTGATCAAATAGTTTCAGAGTCAACCAAACATTGGTTGATCAAATAGTCCCAGAGTCAGAACAACTTAGTTGATCAAATAGTTCCAGAGTCAGAACAACTTAGTTGATCAAATAGTTTCAGAGCCAACCAAACATTAGTTGATCAAATAGTCCCAGGGTCAGAACAACTTAGTTGATCAAATAGTTACAGAGGCAGAACAACTTAGTTGATCAAATAGTTTCATATTCGAACCAACATGTTGACCAAACAGTTTCAGAGTCAGACCAACTTAGTTGATCAAATAGTTCCAGAGTCAGAACAACTTAGTTAATCAAATAGTTTCAGAGTCAACCAAACATTAGTTGATCAAATAGTTTAAGAGTCAACCAAACATTAGTTGATCAAATAGTCCCAGGGTCAGAAATACGTAGTTGATCAAATAGTCCCAGGGTCAGAACAACTTAGTAGATCAAATAGTTTCAGAGTCAACCAGACATTAGTTGATCAAATAGTTTCATATTCGAACCAACATGTTGGCCAAACAGTTTCAGAGTCAGACCAACTTAGTTGATCAAATAGTTCCAGTGTCAGAACAACTTAGTTGATCAAATAGTTTGAGAGTCAACCAAACATTAGTTGATCAAATAGATCCAGAACAACTTAGTTTCAAACATATTCATATTCGAACCATGTTGACCAAATAGTTTCAGTTGATCAATATATTTAAAAAAAAAAAAACTTTTGTTGATTGAATAGTTTGGGGGGGGGGGGGGGGGGGGGGGGGGGGTGGGGGTGCTATGTTCCTTATGTTTCAACAGTTTTGGCATTTGAGTAAATTTATTTCAACAGCCCTGCACACTATCAACAAATAAAGAACAACTTAGAACTAAAATGGAGAAGACACTGCTCAAGATTTCTCTGCCATCTGCACTCCACGGATAATACTGTGAATGTCATTTAGACTAGTCTCACAACTAGAGATGAACTCCCTGACGTCACAGGCTGGGTAGGTCGTCACATTAAAGCCAATGTTCTTGTCCTCTATTGCATAACCTGTCAAGAGACAAACACGGACAGTTAAATGAGGGGGGCTTCAAATGAAGATCTTATCTTATCACAGCACTTAAAAAATAAGTGAAGCAAAAATATGGAAGACAAAGAGAGACGCGTAGAACCATCAGCTCATCCATGGGCCTAAAGAACATCCAAGACCTAAAACAGTGGCAGCGAACCACCAGACATGGAGAGCTATGACCTATGCTCCACCCAGGCTCAAGAGGGAGGACTAACAAAGAAACAATAATCTTGTTTTTGTAACTTATTGTATTGTTTTAGACATCACGAGCAAACATCATGGTGCAAATGAACAGGGTGACAATATGACTTTTAAGATGGCCGCCTCACTTTCGACAAAGAAGAGCAGTGTTCCTTATTTTTTTAATCAGTAAAGGGTGTGGACCCTACAGAAATGTGTCAGTGAATGTTGGTCCAGTACGGTCACTGTCACTCCTAGTCTCTGTGTTGTTCAAAGCCTTTCAGCTGTAATCAACTATGGGGGTCACTGCTCAGTGTATCTAACCCAGTCTATCACAGAAGTCACGCCGTTTGAAACCTACTCCGCTCATACACCTGCTGGACAAACCTACTCCGCTCATACACCTGCTGGTCAAACCTACTCCGCTCATACACCTGCTGGTCAAACCTACTCCACTCATACACCTGCTGGTCAAACCTACTCCGCTCATACACCTGCTGGACAAACCTACTCGGCTCATACACCTGCTGGACAAACCTACTCGGCTCATACACCTGCTGGACAAACCTACTCGGCTCATACACCTGCTGGACAAACCTACTCCGCTCATACACCTGCTGGACAAACCTACTCCGCTCATACACCTGCTGGACTGACAAGCTTTCATCAACATACTGGACCTTCATTCGCCAGTTAATTTCTGTATGTTTCACCTGTACCAGGGCTATTCACCTGCAACATCCTCTGAGCAAAATCTGGCCCACGGAGCCTAGCAAGTGGCCTGTTGCTGATCATTGCCAGTTGTACCGTATAACAGAACTTTCTTAGACATCGCCCCCCAATATGGGACACCATTTTTATTTTTAAATTTTAAAGCCCCACCCCGTCTATATTTGGGAGCCCTAATATAAACTAACGGTTGCAACAGGGTTTCTGGGACCTGCAGTTGGGTGATTCTCATCCGAATGGTGGCACTTTGTGTCACCCCACTCATTGTGCATCCTGGTGGGGTTAAATGTCACTCAATAATCTTTCTATGTTGGGGCTTAGGTCTCTTTTCCGGGACGATCCACGTTAAAATTATTGTTTCTTTTCTGTCGAGTAAACTTGATTGAATAGCCCTGATTTGTACCATTTTACATTAGCTCTTTTATTACCTACTGAGGGATTTGACCTTTTGACCCCAGAAACCATCTTTCCAATTCTTCTTCTTTCCCTCTTGGAGATACAAGAGTATTAGTTATCTCCCTCTTGGAGATACAAGAGTATTAGTTATCTCCCTCTTGGAGATGCAAGAGTATTAGTTATCTCCCTCTTGGAGATGCAAGAGTATTAGTTATCTCCCTCTTGGGGGAAGATATAAGGTATGATTTCTTGCTTTTCTGGCTGCCTTTCCATCTTGTTCTAGTCTACCTCCTGCTTCATGTCCCTCTCCTCTCCACTGGCTTGAGAATCAGCTGTACAAACATGTCATATTTGTAACGGACTCACACAGCATGTTGAGAAAGGTGAAGATAGGCATGCTTCGTGCAGAGTGGCAAGCTGTTGTTTGTTTATACAACGAATCAACATCATGGCGCAAAGGTGGTAACCTGTTAGTGCTCTGTTCTACTTCTAACTCAAGCCTGAGCCTGAAGAATGTCAGTGCAGTGCACAAACTCCGGTGAGGATCCTCGAATACTGGGGTAGATTTTGCATGAGATAGGCTACTCTTTTCGATTTCCAACTGCCAAGGGATTTTTCAATGCTCAACAGTACGCACAGGTGTCCGATCTTACTACCCAGAGACTCGGGGAGATTACTATAAATCCAGATAAAAAAATCCCCAGTTGAACCCAGGACACCCAGCACTCGAAGCATCGATTTAGAGGTTCCAGGTAGTTAGCGTCCTTTGGATATTTTCTCCAGGTCATGCCAATGTTAGAAAATGAGCAGGCAGATAGACTGGCCATTTCTGCACCACTTGGTGGTGAACTGATGTATGACAGACAGTTACTGTGCCATCAGAATTGGGACTCTTTGTTTGATGCTGGAGATGGGGACAGAGCACTTATGGGAGTGCTTTAAGTGCTATAATGTTGATTCTTAATTCAACATTCATCATTCTCCTCTTTTAGTTTATGCCTTATATGGTATGGTATCACAAGTCATTCCCCGGATTGGGCGAAGTATTATGCAGCCCTGGCGCCACCATGAAGGTCATTTTGGGTCGCCCCAGAGTGTCCTGGTTAAAGGAGCTGTGGTGAATTTGTGACAGGCCTAAAAAGCCAGCAGCCAATTCATTATCGCTACAGAGAATACAATAAGAATCTTTTAAAAAAAATTTAAAGCTTCATAATTACTCTGGTGTACAGCTCTGTGGCTTTAAGGTTAGTGAATGCACTTAACAATTTCACAGTTCTCATCGTATCAGGGTTTGAATTCTGCAGCGGACAGTTTGAAAAAAAAAATCGTATGATTTTCAGATGTATGGGAGCTCTGCTGAAGCGGCAAGACACTCGCCTGCCAATCTGAAGGAAGGTCTTGGGTTCTGATTCACATGCAGCCAATTCATGATCTCCACACCTTTAGATAGGCTCTAGGTAAATTCCTGGGAAGTAAAGGCTGCAGCACCACTGAGGATCGACTGGTCTGCAGAATTGGCCTCATATGCCTGATCAACCACTGACACATAAAGGGGCCGTTACTTGTACTTACTTTAACGCGACTAAAAGAACACTGCTCGACATAATAGTTTTACTGATGCTATGTTGTCTGCATGGATTTTTATCATGGTACGGGGCGTCGCAGGTCGACCCAGCCTAAAATGGGTACCAGGATGGGCTGTCCGGGGAAAGTAAAGACAGCCGGCGTAATGCTGACCACATTACCAACCGAGTGCTGACGGTCTGTAAAAATATGGGTGCTCTTCCCACATGCCCGATACGCCTAAAGGCGTGGAAAGGGATCTTTACTTTTTTTTAATTCTTATGTTGTCAATGTCAAACATGGGCACTATCTTCACAAGACAGTAGGAAAATAATGACGACAGAAATAAAATGTTTATATATGATGCTAGGTGTAAAGATGAAAGACCGACTTAGGTGCGATGATATCAGGATGAGATTCGGCACAGAACCAATATAGGTAGACAACAAATCAAATGGTTTGGCCATGTAACAATACTGGCACCAGACAGGCACTATAAAGCACAATGTTATACAGATACAGCAGTAACAGAGTCAGAGATAGACAGCACAGAAGATGAACCGCAGAAGTATCAGAGACACTGAAAAGTACTTTAGATGAAGCGAACAAAAGAGCCAGTTCCATAGATCTCTTCCTGCCCTAAAGCCACGAGGCATTCCAGGAGTAGACCAGAAGGGCTCACTGCAGAGATCTCTTCCTGCCCTGAAGCTGCGAGGCATTCCAGGAGTAGAACAGAAAGGCTCACTCCAGAGATCTCTTCCTGCCCTGAAACCGAGAGGCATTCCAGGAGTAGAAGAGAAGGGCTAACTCCAGACATCTCTTCCTGCCCTGAAGCTGCGAGGCATTTCAGGAATAGAACAGAAGGGCTCACTCCAGAGATCTCTTCCTGCCCTGAAGCTGCGAGGCATTCCACGAGTCAAGACAAGAAGAAGAAGAAGACTGCCACTTACCTATTCCAAAACCATCCGGAGTAACAGGAGCAAAGCCACCAATCTGTACTGCTGGATCCGACAGGGTCGACGTAGACAGAATGATGTGATTGAGGTATAGATAGGCCGGGTTAGTGAACATCGGCAGAGTCAGGCCCTGCTTTTCGGCCAGGTGTTTTAGGCAAAATAAGTGTCGGTCAAATCCTTGTCCTGAAATAGCACAGGTATAGTAAATTCATTTTAAAGTACTGATAGACACTTCAAGATGCAGATGAAAGAAGTAGAGGCAGGAGAACACACAAAACCAGTGGTTTTCAACATGGGAGGTCCCATAAGTGTCAAATAATTTTATCAAATATAATTGTGAAATGGATAAATTAACAAATACAATTGGGAAATGGGTAAATTAACCAATACAATTGGGACATTGGTAAATTAACCAATACAATTGAGAAAATAGGTAAATTAACAAATGCAATTGAAAGGGCCGGGGGGGGTGGAAATAGGTAAATTAACAACAAATACAAATGCGGAAATGGGCAAATTAACAAATACAATTGGCGAATTAACAAAATATACAATTCGGGAAATGGGTAAATTAACAAATACAATTGGGAAATTAGCAAATACAATTGGGGAAATGGGTAAATTAACAAATACAATTGGGAAAATAACAAATGCAATTAGGGAAATGGGTAAATTAACAAATACAATTGGGACATTAACAAATACAATTGGGGAAATGGGTAAATTAACAAATACAATTGGTAAATTAACAAATACAATTGGGGGAATGGGTAAATTAACAAATACAATTGGTAAATTAACAAATACAGTTGGGGGAATGGGTAAATTAACAAATACAATTGGTAAATTAACAAATACAGTTGGGGGAATGGGTAAATTAACAAATACAATTGGTAAATTAACAAATACAGTTGGGGGAATGGGTAAATTAACAAATACAATTGGTAAATTAACAAATACAATTGGGGGAATGGGTAAATTAACAAATACAATTGGTAAATTAACAAATACAGTTGGGGGAATGGGTAAATTAACAAATACAATTGGTAAATTAACAAATACAGTTGGGGGAATGGGTAAATTAACAAATACAATTGGTAAATTAACAAACACAATTGGGGAAATAAACAAATACAATTGGGGAAATGCATAAATGAATTAACATAATTGTGAAATGGATATATTAACAAATATAACTGTGAAATGGATAAATTAACAAATACAACTTAGAAATTTATATATTAATATAATTGAGAAATGGATATATTACCAAAAATAATTGTGAAATAGGTAAATTAACTAATACAATTATAAAATGGTTTAATTAACAAATATAATTGTGAAATCTTCATCATCAGGTGCCTGGAAAAGAAAGAAAATTAGAAATCGCATGTGTCTAATATGGTTACTGTCACAATCATTGTCTGCGCACATACAGAGATAGTCTTCAATGCCCACCCCCTTCCAAAATCCACCTACTAACTGCTCCCCCATCAAAGGCTTTTGGAAAAGAAAGACAATAGAAATCGCACGTGTCTAATATATTTAATGTCGCAATCATTCTCTGCACAGATATAGAGATAGTCTGGTTTGTCACTTTAGAACACGCAACATATAATTGCTTCTTTATATTAGTGGTAGTTTAAATGGTATTATTAGCACAGTAAAAAAATGGTTATTTAGTTATCGCATGCTAAAGCTGTTTGTATTTTTTTTTAAGAGACTGAAGTAAAGCTTACTACTGTACTTGTAAGTAACCAAGTAAGTCATAAAAAAAATGAGAATAGCGGAGGTAGCGTTAGTAAAATATAAACAAATTAGGAAATGGAAACTTTAAAATCATGCGTTAAGCTCTTTAAGTTAACAGTTTCTGTCATCACCCCCTCCCCTCCCCCATTTGCTCTCTCTCTCATCGGAGGATTTGAAAGTCATCACCCGACGATATTTTTTGTAACTGACGTTATCCGGACTAAAATAGGCAGCAGGAATTGTAATGAGTAGTAAATGCGGCTAGTGTAATATTGACCACACTATCCTTCAAGTACCAGTACAACTACTACCACCACCGCTACCACAATAAATAAAATAATGTCACTGCTATCTGTTTTACCGTAGTAGTAGACAGGGAGTCGTGAGCCAGAGGATTTGGCGCTGCAAGGCTAATGCTGTCGACATGGACTGGTCAGGTAAGAATGTGTTATTTCGCTCCCCGACAGAAAAAATGCCATCACCTTACTGGCGGTCTCCGGCATAACAGCACTACGGTGTAACCGCTCAATCACAACTACTACTACTTTGAGTGGGTAAGGCAGTTACTTTGACTTGAAGCTCTTTCAGTTACCAGTTTATGCTACCCCCTCTCCCAATTCACTGACTACTCTTTCCTTCATCGAAGGAATGCAATGCCAGAAGAAATAATTAAATCGAAATGAAAATAAATGGAAATCTACGAAAATTCAGCGTTACCATGCAATCAGAAAGTTTGAAAAGAAATCATAAGTATGCGAAATGGTCAAATTTAATTATCGCCACGACACAGCAGGTCTGGGTTTTATTTTGCCACCGGAAAAAAAAAAAAAAAGGAAACTGCCGTACTGGGGATTCGAACCCTAGTCTCCTGCACGGAAACTTAGTGTACTAACCATTCATCCAGCCAAACACTGCTTCTGAACAACGAAAAGATAACAGAACTACGCAAGATGTGTGTCCCGATTCTAACACAAATGAAAACCGCAGGCAATTGTTTTTTCAATAACAGATATCCCAGATATAAACTTCAAGTATTATTGAAACGGCACAATAATAGAAATCGTATGTGTCTAACACGGTAAATGTCACAATAATTGTCTTCGCAGACACAGATCCCGCGCCCCCCCCCCCCCCCCCCCATTTTCTCTTCCCCTCTCTCAAATCCACCGACTACTCTCTAACTCATCGAACATTGTTTGAAAAGAAAGAAAATAGAAATCGTGTATAACATAGTTAACGTCGCAATCAGCGATATAGAGATAGTCTGGTTTGCTGTACGGGCGGATGTAAAAAATGGAGGGTCCCGTGTCTACTGCGCATGCACTGTGAAAGTTGATCGCCCATGCGCATTTATTAACATGGCTATAATTAAATGCCACTAAAAATGGAAATATTAGTTTAGAAGATTTTTGCAACAAATGTGGTCACCTATCTCTAACAATGACAGGTAGAATTTCAAACCATGATGGGTAAACATCCGGTATCAAAACAAACATATCCTGAAAATTTCAGCTAAATCGGTTCAGTAGTTTCCGAGTCTATAGCTCATAAACAAACACACAAACATTGATTTTTATATATATATATAGATAACTGTGAAATGATAAATTAACAAATATAACTGAAATTATAAATTAACAAACATAACTAAAAAGTTGCTAGGACAATGGGGGTGATATAACAGATACAACAGAAACTTTACCCATGGCTGCCTCCTTGGTCAGTCGACTATGCACTTCTGAACAAGTCCTGAGGCCCTCCATCAGCTCAGCATTGCTGCTTTGCCTGCCCCCTTTCCCGTACAGCTTCTCGCACATGGCCTTGGTGGCCGTGGTACAAGACCTGACAGTCTCGGTGCGGCCATGTTTAAATGCTGATGTGCTGCACGACTCGTAGGTTCCGACATTCTTCCCGTAAATCTGATAATGTGCCAGCTGCGTAGGTGAAGAAAAAAGATACCACGCTGTATAAACACACGGAGTGAAGCATGTACAAGAGTATTAAAACAAGTTATAGCTAAGTCAGCACCTGCAGGTGGAACTCTGCGCTGGCTGCTGAAGATGAGGACGGAGCATGCATGGGAATGCCCTGAGTGCAGTGATGCCAATTCTTGACTCAACTTAACACCTGCAAGTGGGTTAGCGTGAAAATCCTGAGATTATGCATCTTTCCCATGGCAACTGATGGATGATCTTTCCCATGGCAACTGATGGATGATCTTTCCCATGGCAACTTTTAGATGATTTTTCCCATGGCAACTGATGGATGATCTTTCCCATGGCAACTGATGGATGATCTTTTCCCATGGCAACTGGTGGATGATCTTTCCCATGGCAACTTATAGATGATTTTTCCCATGGCAACTGATGGATGATCTTTCCCATGGCAACTGATGGATGATCTTTTCCCATGGCAACTGGTGGATGATCTTTCCCATGGCAACTTATAGATGATTTTTCCCATGGCAACTGATGGATGATCTTTCCCATGGCAAATGATGGATGATCTTTCCCATGGCAACTGGTAGATTATCTTTCCCATAGCAACTGATGGATGTCAGTCATGGACTCTTAATCGCTGAAGAAAAAAATTGGAACTTTTGAACTGAAATGCTTAAGAAAAATTCTTGGAATACCGTGGAACAAGAAGAAGAAAAAAAACACATTCTGCATGGTCTAAGTATTGAGAAGAATTGACTCATAAACAGTATCCTGTCCTGAAAACTGTTTATTTTTGCCATACTAAAAGTCATGGTGGCTTGGAGAGAACTGCGATGGAGGGTCAGATTCTGGAAAACAATCCAGAGGCAGACCTTTCCGAATGTAGATACAAAATATTGAAGACGCAATGGCTATAAAAGCACATAGAGCTGAAGAACTGGTGAGAGAGATGTTCTGTAAAGAATGGCTGATTGATGATATATCCAAGTTTTATATCCTCTTCATGTCGCTGTTGACACATAAGGCATTCACAAGTGATCTCCATTGCTGCCGGTCTGCTGCTTTTCTGCCCATGGTATCCCATGTCAGTTTACATTCCTTCATTTCTTGTTTTATTGTCCTTCTCCAGGTTTCCTTAGGTCGTCCACGTCTCCTTTTCCCATCTGCTGTCCACCGGAGAGCTGTTTTTGCCAGAGTGTCACAAGGCATTCTGCAAACATGTCCAAGCCATCTCCATTGTCTTACTTTGATAACATTTGCCAGTGATGCACATTCTGTTTTCCTTCTCAGTTCTTCATTTGTGATCTTGTTTGGCTAAAATATTCGTAGAATTCTCCTTAAACATTTATTTTGAAAAGTCTCAAGTTTATGTGTGTGATATCCAAATTACATTCAATTATATATTCACACTGGTTGCCTTACCTCCCATGATATTCCCTTGTGATCATTTTAGGCTGGGAGTGAAGGTCAGTTATAAAGCATCTGGTCCTGTATGGATTTGAATACAAGACTTTTCGGCCAGTAGATAGGCTCCCATTATTATTTTTGGGTTGAGCAGTGTATGCTTGATGAGTTTTATTTTTACAGCCAAAAGAGGAATTTGATTTTAAAAAGTCCCAATCTGCAAAGCGGAGTCAAACATAGGATGGCTGAAAGAATTAATCAGCAATTCTTCATCTTTAACGTCTTCTCCATCTTTATTTTCTTCTTCTTTTCCTTTATACTATACTTCTCTTCTATTTCTCCTAGTTCTGTTGCTCTACCTACCCTATGGGAGGCGTCTTCTCGATTATTTACATACTATCCGAGTAAAGATTCAACATTAAAGGTGAAGGTAAAGTCGGGAGATGTGAACCAGCGTCAGTGCACATGGTTATAAACCATAAGTGCTCTGCCACCAATACAGACAGCTGACAAGAATTGTCCGCCTGTGTCGCCGCGCGCACGTAACTCTGTAGCTATGACGTCGTTCCTACCCCAGTGTGTCAACTCTGGTACCCATTACCTAGAGGCTGGGTGAACCCCGGGAGCCGCATGGTTTCGAACACCGACCATGGGCTGCAGCGAGTCGCAGCTGGATTTGAAAGCGAGCCTCTTATCGACTTCGCTCAGGACAAGCCTATATTAGCTCTGTCTACCTTCTCAACAGCTACCGTCTCTATAATGATGATACCTGTTGTCATCTGGGTAAAGATTCAACATCCCAGCATTCAGGACAAGCCTGTATTAGCTCCATCTACCTTCTCAACAGCCTGCAAAGAGTCTTCATACTAATGTCATCTGGTTAACTACTCATCTTGCCTTTCCTTACAAGTCTTGGGTGGCACCCAGAGCCAACAGACACTCTCTGCTGCATCATACTTTGCAGGTGTGGGTTTTCAAATCCTTCATTTTATCTGCTACCTTTTCCCACAGGCAAGAGATCACCTCTGCCTTGTAAAGCTGCAGTACACCCCCTGCACCCCCCTCCCCCCTTAGAACGCAACATACTCCACTCAATGGACACCTAAACAGAATACAGCCACAACACTCCCCAGAGTGCCAGCTATGTAACTACCCCTACGAAACTGTTGAACACCATCTCTTTGAGTGCCCAATACTTAGTGAGACAAGAAGAACGCTACTCCCTCCGAAACCAGACAAGTGGAACACCTTGTACGGAGGAAAAGAACAGCTTGTGAAAACATGCAAATTCCACTACATGGCATTGGGCCAAAGGGCAAAAGCTCATGCGCCGCTGGATCGATAACAACAACAACAACCCCCCTCCCCTTAGTGGGACCAATTCATATCCCAGGCATCTTCTAGCAGCTCAGCTTGAACCAGCCACGAGACAATAGCGAGAGTCATCCATCTCACTGGTATGAAAGGTAGGCAGGTAGTTGTACTCCACCAGGTATCACACGAGACATAATGGCGAGAGTCATCCATCTCACTGGTATGAAAGGTAGGCAGGTAGTTGTACTCCACCAGGTATCACACGAGACATAATGGCGAGAGTCATCCATCTCACTGGCATGAAAGGTAGGCAGGTAGTTGTACTCCACCAGGTATCACACGAGACATAATGGCGAGAGTCATCCATCTCACTGGCATGAAAGGTAGGCAGGTAGTTGTACTCCACCAGGTATCACACGAGACATAATGGCGAGAGTCATCCATCTCACTGGCATGAAAGGTAGGCAGGTAGTTGTACTCCACCAGGTATCACACGAGACATAATGGCGAGAGTCATCCATCTCACTGGCATGAAAGGTAGGCAGGTAGTTGTACTCCACCAGGTATCACACGAGACATAATGGCGAGAGTCATCCATCTCACTGGTATGAAAGGTAGGCAGGTAGTTGTACTCCACCAGGTATCACACGAGACATAATGGCGAGAGTCATCCATCACACTGGCATGAAAGGTAGGCAGGTAGTTGTACTCCACCAGGTATCACACTAGATATAAAGACATGGTGGCAGTGGATGATAATCACCCGTGGAAAGGTCCCAGAAACCCCATTAGGCCATATCTATGGCTAGGCTATATTTATTCCCCGGTTATATTCAGGGTCGCCAGCAAAAGCCAGTGTGGGGCTTCAAAATTTAAAAAAAAATTGCAAGGGGACAACTAAATGATATAAAAAAAGTTAAACCTTTCACATTGCAAAATGCTTTTAAAAAAAAAAATACTTGAACTTGGGAATTCCCCCCAAAAAATTCTTGATTAAAATAAAATTATGTTTTATTTAACTATATTTTTCTAGAATAAAGATTGCTTCCCTCAACATATATTAAGGGAATAATCAGTAAACAAGAACGGAGTGAAACACTAAATGGAATGCACTCTGCGGTACCTAAAAAAATGTTTCAGTAAATTAAATTTTAAAAAGGACATTTTGTTCACAACAAAAATCCCTACATGCTATTTTTAGTAAATATATTCATATTCTGACCTAATTGCTTGCAGCGCGCAAACACAGCCAATAGTGTAGTACAACCAATGGTGTTAACTAGGCATCTTGTAGAAATTCTGCTGGATATGCCAGATTTCTGGCATCTTGGGGTGAAAGGGTCATTAAGATGATTGCCCCTTGTACGATGGCCATAACTGCAGCAAGCTGAGCAGAAAACCCATGCAAGAGACGACGGCACAGGGATACTCAGGGATGGAGAGATGAAAGAGAGAAAGCCTGAGGCTGGCTCTTGGTGAGTTGTGTACTAGATGTTGAGGAAGACGGTTGTGAAGTAGTCAACGTAGTTTAACTGAAATGTACTAAACGTTGTGTGAATGAATATTGTAGGAGGTGATTGAAAAAAACTGATTGAGCAGAGAGGGAGAACCGGGAGGAAAAACTGGCAGAATTTATACAAGAAACTGCGTGCTGTTCTGCTTTATTAAATGTAGGTAGTTTTATTTTGTCCCAAGTGTGTATATGTGCAGGTGTGTGACAAGGAAGTAATAATACTAGCCCCCTGTGTGGGTTCTGGGGCCCTATTTTAGGGAAAACTTGGGAATTCTCCCCCCCCCCCCCCCCCCCAAATCCTTGATTAAAAAAAATTATTATGTTTTCTTTAACTATATTTTTCTAGAATAAAGATTGCTTCCCTCAACATATATTAAGGGACGTCAAAACAATACGTAACGTTGTGAAGGTATTGTTTTCAAAGGAGTTGATGTTTACAGTCCGAAGGAGACGAACGTGTGGATCCTTGAGGACGCTTTACCCCGGCATGCCACGGAAGCAAACGTTTTATACAGTTTGATCCTTGAGGAAGTTTTACCCCGGGACTCACCTCAGCAGAAAGCTGGTATATTGTCACAGTTCGGCAGTAAGCCGGTACACTTTCATTACTTAATTCAGACTGCCGAATCGAAGACAGAGATGACTGTCTGGATCTCAAGGTTGGACTGCGACCCGTCATGAGGACATATCAGTCCATGGATGTACGAGCGGGCTTTTGTTGATGTGCTTGAATTAGTCTGGATTATTAATTGCATATTTTCTCCTTGTGTTGATCATTGCTATTTGTCAATACACAAATGGAACTTTTAAAGAGAGTTCTCGTTCCGCTACGTTTGGAAGCTTCAGCATTCATCATGTTGTGTTACTCTTGGCCAGTGGCATATTAAGTTGTTGATGCCACTTGTTACATTGCGACGCCCTTAGTCACCTTTGGTACACTGCACATCACCACGCAGCCTTTACAGCACGTCACACCGTAGGCCCAAGCTTCGCCTGTCACAGGCATGTCATAATAGTTGACTAACTGTGAACTTCCTTGGAAGTCGGAGTGCATCTGCCTGAGGGGCAAGGAACCAAGAGTCTGCATGCAAATGTGTCAGACCTGTCAAACGGAAACACACGTAACACTCAGGTTCTGGAATACAACTGCAGTCCAGAAGTGGACAGAACAACCAGAACTTTCCACCAGAGTTTACAGTTGGTGAATGCAAAGAAGAAAAAGAAGAAGAAAATACTAGCTAGAATGTGGTAACCCTAGACTGGAAGCCACGATATGATCTAGCCATACGGATAGCAGCCAGGGTTATGGTGAGGAACTCCCTACCTGTATGGCCAACTGCATAACGGAGTCGGGGCTCAGCCTGGACCTTTTCACGTCTGTTTTGGTCATCTTTGTGTACTGTAGATGGTGGACATCCAGGGTGCTTGTCACTTCATCAAATCTCTGCTTGGCTTTTTTTATGGTCTCCTTCAACAAAGGATCCAGTTTGAACTCTGTGGTGGGATAGAAAATGGCAAAATTGAAAAATCTCAAAAGTGGTTGAACGTTGAATTAAGGTCGATCTCACAGCACTCGGGACACACTCATAAGCGCTCCGTCACCATCTTGTGCCGATTGGTCAATAAAAATACAGATCTAGGCCTATATGCCCTATACACCATAACTTTTTAAGGCCCAAGCAACAGTGTGAGCGTTTATTGAGAAGTTCTGTTTTGCCCAAACAACGCTGTCATTGTCGATCGTGTATCCCATACATTTTGCTTTGCACACAGCTCCGTACTTGTTCCTAATATTCAGAAGTAGGATTAAACTATTCAGGGAAAGTCACTCTGCCGAAATCCGTTCGGATGCATTTCCTATCAGAAATCACACGTGCAAAATTTGAATGGATTCACATCGAAATTTTTTCAACAGTGCATTTTCTAAGTTCGTTTTTTGAGTGCCATGATTACCAATGTTCCCACCACAAGTACAGGTGGCAGAATGCTTCTTTCTGCAGCTGAAACTCTAAAATTGTTTCAGTCAGATGTTTTTAATTCTAATAATGATAATGAAAATTTAGATTTTTTAAAAGTGATTCAGATGGTGATTTTTCACCAGCGAAGCTGAGGGATCAGCTGTTCGGAATCTAGCGATTCTGATGATTTTATTACACAGACAATGTCCCATTGCTACCGTATTTATAGTGTAAGAGATGGAAAGTGCTCTAAACATAGAGATTTTACTATACTATGGCTAAGCTACATTGAAATCATCGCAGTTACAGTCTGTATATAACTGTACAAAGTAAATAATAAATAGTGTGTGTGTGTAATGGCTAATTTTTCAGCCATTTTTCTCTGAAATTTAGCTCAGCACTCTGTGAGAACTAAGAGCCCTTGAGTGCTAAACTAACCCAGAAACTTATCATAACTTTGGAATATGTTAGGAAATGTGAACAAACTTTAAAGTTTTGTTCTCAAATGTGGATATTCACTACTTGTGGGGCTGCAAAATCATGGTAAGTGAAGAATTTGTTTGTAAAATGTTGTTGTTGTGAAATTAACACCTGCTGAATTCTTCTTTCCTACTAACTATAAACAAAATAAACATTCACTTATCATCAGATTAAAAATGTACATTCATTTCTCTTTTAAAAAATACATACTTTTTTTTAAGGATTAGAAGTATATTTTTAACTGTATTGCATTTCTTGTACACCCACCCCTCTGCCATTTTTGTAAAGGGAAATTAATGTGGGCCAAGTCTGTCAAAATTCATGGGCCAGAAAGAGTTAAGGTGTGGAAAAGGGACCCTTTTTTTTTTATTCAGTTCACATGTTTCCATTTTCTTCCTCAATGATTCATAAAGAGTCCACAAGCATGAATAATATTAAGAAAATTAATATACTACTGATCAGGCAAAAATAAAAACACTCCTGCGTCTGCTGCAAATTGAACCTGAAAATCATAAGTGAGTGTAATTTTGTTGGATATCATATCTCTCTCTCACTTCACATTTCTCCCTCTCTCCCTTCCTTCCCCCATCTCCCTTTCCTAATTTTTCTCTTCCCTTCCCTCTCCACTCCTGCTTCCATCTAACTCCCCATGTTCCTGTTCTCTCTACCCCTATCTTTATACACACTACCAAATGGACAGGTAATGTGATCTGCTAGCTTCTGTAAAAATAGCGGCCACACCCACCTCATGTGACACACCTTACATAACCTATGTACAGCATAGAAAACTTACACAGTATATTTATGTATCATTTAAAACTTAGTCGATATGCAACATATAAAATATACGCAATCAATATATATCATATGAAACTTACACAGCCCAAATTTAGCAAATAAAAATTACACAGCCTATATACAACGTACAAAAATTAATCGGACTACATACAACATATAAAACTTACAAAACAAATAACTTACGTAGCCTATGTACCCTTTGGTCAGAGTTTGCATTCCTAGAAGGCCGAGTGTCAGGATGTACCCAGGAGTTTTTGACCGAATCAGCAAACACCTCCCTGAAGTACCGAAGCACAGCGACACCATCTCCCCAGGAATGCTCAAAGTGTACTGCCGATGTTCCCTCTTTTGTAAGTATCAGCTGAAAGCTTTTGTCGTACCACCTAAGAAAAGTGAATTTATTTAAATATTTAGAGGCAATCATTGTTCTTTCGTTCTCAAAGAATTTTTAGACTGCTTATCAAAAACCTAGATGTGGTTTTACAGAAGAATGCTTAAAATACTGTGGACAGCAAGAAACAGCAACCGAGAGGTTCTGAAAGAGGCGGGAGCCCGGAGAAAACTTATCACAGACAACAGAAGGAGACAGTCATAATTTTTCGGCCATGTTATGAGAAGAAGGAAAATGGAACATGTGGTGACCACTGGAAAGATCCGTGGAAGGAGAGATAGAGGAAGACAACTAGAGAAGATTCTTGACAGTCTTGTTGTATGGCATGAAGATGTGTCAGCACATTAACTGATACATGCTGCAGGAGATCGCAGATTGTGGAGAGGCTTGATCACACACACGGTACTTTGCAGAATTTGAGAATTACACTACATTTTAAATATCGAATAATTATAATTACTAACAGAATGAATAATAAGCCACCAGGAACGCACATAACCACAGCAAATTTTTCTGGAAATTAAATATTTCAAAATAACAAAGAAAGTCGCAGTCCGGTCATTCTGATACTGAGTAACATACTCTTATTTAGACATTAAAATGGTTAGTCCAACAATTCGAAGGAGGCTGCCATATTTGTTTGATTTTTCTTTCTTTTAAAAACTATACAAAAGGCAACAAAACAAACATAAAAAGTAATACTTTTTTATAATGTAACTTCTAATAGGATACGTCTGCACCTCTTATCTTATAATGTTTTTATTGCTATTATAATAACGTAATAAAATTGAAAACAGGCCTGTTAAAGATGCAAAAAATGTGTATAAACAAATTAACGATCTAATCGACATATGCTTCGTTAATATAAATTTATGTAACCTATGGTGCCATTTCAGTGGGTTGAAATGAATTCTGTCCGTATTCCATAGTTGTGGATTTCAAGCTGCACGATAGACATGGCCAATAAGACACCTTTTTTTTGGGGGGGAAGGGGGGGGGGGAGGGGGGGGTGCCTGGTTGACCATTTTCTTAGTGCACTTGTATCCATAGCGAGGCGCACACGCTGCCTTCGCAATGTTTTGATCGCGGCGGTCCACTCGGGAAGACAGAATCTCGTCAGCAGGGGACTGCAACTGTCTAGAGAGCAAACTCGATAAAAGCTGTCCCCAGAAACGGAATGTGTCAACCATATATTTGGTGGGGAGGAATCGACACATACGGTTAACTCAATGGCCATGCGCAAATATTTATCCAATAGTGGTACCACCACGTTGGGTAACAATCAAGTGAAAGCGGGACTCGCTCTCACATCTCAGTAGGCACCTGATGATGATCAAAAACCTTCCTAACCTACTAGTCCTGCGTGTGTGTGCTGAGTGATTCTTTAGGCATGATCCAGCAGGTCGAGGCAGGCTGGTTACACAGACAGTGGTTTGAGTCATTGCAAAACTCTCTTGTGTGGGCAGTTACCTTCATATTTGTCCCAGGGCATGCAGGCATTGGTGGTAAGGAAAGAGCTGATAGAGTGGCAGGTGCTGCATTAATTGAAGATGGCCAGCCCATGGATCACACAGACATTGTCGATGCCCTTAGAGAGATAGGAGGTTCTGAAGATTTTGGAAGCAACGTGTCCACATCACTGCTAAGAATACAAGAACTGGCAGTAAAAATCAGCACAGCCAAGCATGAGAAGCACACCAGACGCACATGAAGTCTTGTTAACCAACACAGGACTGGCACTATTAACCGTGCAACGCTGATGAATATGCTGAGAGTGGAATCTGAGCCCCTATGAATGTATCCAGAGTGCTGTGAAGATAACCTAACTCATAACTTCCTTATCTGCCGTCTGTGACGAAAGCACTAGCCATGCGCCACTACATCCTCAGATCAATGACTCCCTCCTGCCTAGACTGCAAAATGCAGTAATGGCAGATTTTACTCAACAGTTATACTTTAATCAGTGACCCATTAATTTTGCCTGCAGCAGTGTTTCTCTTGGCCAAAAGTTTTGCCTTGATACATGTGTGCTCCGTCCCCATCTTCAGCAGCCAACGCAGGGTTTGAATGCTAATGGTGCCGATCGCAATCTGGTTGTATGTCCGTCTTGCCTTTCCTCTGATTGTAGTGTGCCCTCCAGACATCTGGTTACACCCAGGTGCATCATTCTCTCCAGGTCATAATAAACTTGTTTCTCTTCTGACTTTGTTACTTGTTCCCAAAGGGCCTTGGCTACATCTACCTTGTCATGTATCAATTCACCACTCAGTGGTGCAGATCGAACCAATCTGTCTGCCTGTTCCTTCCCTACCACTCTTGCATGGCCTAGGAAAAAAAATCCAAAGTAGGCTCACTACCCGTGACCTTCCCAGTGAAGCTAGCCACTCTGCTTGAAGCATCACTGCAATGTCATTATGAGTAAAACATTGCATTGACATCTGGTTTACTTTTTGCTTTAATTGTGGCAACCCCCCCCCCCCCCCCCCCAAAAAAAACCACACACACACACAAAAACTAGCTCAGCTCATCATGACAGTATTTGCATAGTATTAAAATGATGGGAAACCGCCATGGTGTAGAGGCTAGACTCTTGCCTATGGATCAGAAGGTTGTGGGTTTTGGTCCTGACTGAAGCAAACTTTTTTTCAGAAATTACGATGACTCCTAGGTCAACACAGCCTTGAGTGGGTATAAGGCACACCTTTGGGAAGCAGAGGCAGATAGCCACGTGATGCTGACATCATCCACCCAATGCTGATTGTTTTGACCAAAATAAGTTTAGACTTATATGCCTAATACCCCTGAAGGCAGGAAAAAGAGTCATTTACTTTTTTTGGTTTTACTTTTATTAAAATTGTGAATGGGAACTACTTCTTCTTCAGCGATCTCTGGTCATGCGCATAATCCACTGTGGGTCATAAACTGGGATGTCTTTTCAAGGTCTCTTAGGTTTCCCCAAAGCTTAGTTGTCAGTTCTACTGGGTGTTGCCATATGTCGCTCCGCAGCTCCGCCAGGAGAGGACAGTCTTGCAGGACATGTTCTGGAGTCTGTTCAGCACGAAGGCACCGGCAGAGAGCTGTTTGGCTCATACCTAATTTATGTGAGTGTTTATTGAGTCTGCAGTGTCCAGTGCGTAAGCGAAAAACTGTGACTTGGTCTGTTCTGTTCAAGTGTTTCAGAAAATCTTTTTCGTAGTTATAACCAGTGTTGGTTTTCCAATCTGTTTCTGATTTTCTCTTAATGAGAGTTTTGACTTCTGGAAAAGATAGTGGCTGGTAGGTCTGTGGTTTGTTACTGCCTTCCTTGGCTAAAGCATCTGCACTTTCATTGCCTTTGATGCCACAGTGTGACGGAATCCACTGCAAGTGAATTTCTGCCTTATTTGACAACATGGCAAGTTCATGTGTTAGACTTTGTAGTGTGCTGTCGGTAGGTTTGGACTCAAGGGCCTGTATAGCTGACAGTGAGTCAGTGAGAAAAACTATCCTGCCTGCGGTGATTTGCAGATTGTTCATATACTGTGCTGCCATCAATAGGGCTGAGAGTTCTGCCTTGTAGTTAGAGCAAGTTCGTCCGGTGGGGGCTGCTAGGGACACAGTAGTGGCATCTGGGTGTTTTATGTAAACACCTGCCCCACCATTCGTAGTTGCCTCTTTTGCTGATCCATCCGTGTAGATTCTGGTCCAGCTGTCCTGTGGGAACATGTTGTTGAGGTGTTCCATTGTGAGTGCTTTCTTCACTAAAGCGGGCTCAGCATCTTTGTTTCCCAGGTTCGGGATGGATGTTGACACATTGAGTGTCAATAATTCAGAGTCCCAAAGATCGAAAGATAGCTCTTCAGGTGTACATTGTTGGTTAAGTAGTGAAGAGAATGACTTTCCAAATTCCTTCGTTAGATGGTTTAGGTTTGTGCGCTTTATTCGGTTTTTTGTCCTGGCTGCCAATTTTTCATGTAATGGGTGGTTTAGCATTCTCTTCATTTTTTCAGCATGTAGAATTGCTTTTGTCCTTCTTCTTTCTTCTAAGGGGATGATGTTGGCTGCCTTTTCCATTTCTACAATAGGTGTAGATTTTATGGCTCCCAGAATTGTACGCAGACTTCTATTTTGCGTTTTGTCTAGTATCTGTTTATTGGAATGGGCTGCTGTTATCCATGACGATGATGCGTATTCGAGAGTTGGTCTGACTGTGCCGGTGTATACTTGCTTCAAGATACAACTGTCTGCTCCCCAAGTGGTGCCTGCCAATTTCTTCATCACACCTTGTTTTCTCATAGCTTTTTTGTTAGTTTCTAGTATGTGATGTTTCCATGTCAGACGACTGTCAAGCTTGACTCCCAGGAAGGTTGGAGTATTGGAGCGTGGAACAGCATCATTGTTGACTTTTAATGTACACTTTTCCTCCTTTGTAGACAATGAGTAGAGTGGTGCTACAGTTTTGTTCCTGTTTACTTCGAGGCCCCATTTGTTGGCCCAGTTTATGACACTATTCACACATTCTTGGAGTTTTGATATGGCAGGTCCAATGAACTCAGAGGTGTACCACACAGCTAGGTCATCTGCATGAAGAGAATGTGATACATGTCTGGGTAAAGTTTGAGGTAGGTCGTTGATGTAAATCAGGAACAGGACTGGAGACAGTACACTACCCTGTGGTACTCCTGCTCTCAGCTTGAATCTGGGACTATGTGCTTCATCTAGTTTCACAGATGCCCGCCTGTGGAATAGGAAGTCTTGTATCCAGTAGTACATTCTGCCTCTTATTCCACTATGTAAGAGCTTTAGCATCAAGCCATCCTTCCATACTTTGTCAAAGGCCTTGGACATATCAAAAAAGACTGAGGGTTTTCTTCTTTTCCTGGAAGCCATTTTCTATGTCCTGTGTAAGGTATGCTACCTGGTCATCAGTGCTTCTGTGCTGTCGGTAGCCTGCCTGAGCCGGATCCAGTTTGTGATTGGTTTCTAGGAACCACTGAAGTCTGGTGGCTAGCACTCTCTCCATCAGTTTTGCGGGGCAGCTTAGCAAACTGACAGGCTATAGCTCTGAGGGTCCTTCTTGTCCTTGCCACTTTTGAGGATAGGGTGGATTATAGCATTTTTCCAGATATCTGGGACTCTGCCTAGTTTCCAGCTATAGTTGTATATCTGGAGTAAGATGTTTTGTGCTGCTGGACCCATTTGTTTGAGCATGTCGTTTGAAACTTCGTCTGGGCCAGGTGCCTTCTTTGACTTGAGTTTCCTCATTGCTCTTAGTAGCTCAGTTAGAGTGATGTCTGTCTCCATGCATGGCTCACAAGAGGCTTTTTTGAATATGGAGTTTATCCCATCTCGGACTGCTTTCTTTTGCTCCAGGGTTACTGAATATGAGCTTTCTTTCTCATAGTTTAGGGCCATCAGAGTCGCTGCTTCCTTCCCTGTTAGTAGGTTTCCTTCTTGTTGGAGAACTGTTTTTCCATGAGATGGGTTGTCATCATTAAGTGCCTTTGTCAGTCTCCACAATTTTGTGGTGTCTTTTTCCATGTTCAGAGAAGCAGTCTTTTCTTTCCAGGACTTTCTACACTGTAGGTTTCTTTCTCTGACATAGAGAGCCCTTGCTTTGTTGTGTTGCTCACATGTTCGTCTGTTGGATCAGCTTCCATGCTATCTCTAGCATCACAGAGCGAACCGTGAAGCACTTCCAGTTCTGGTGACCAATATGGCTTGTAGTTGTGCCTCTTTCCTCTAGGAATGTTTTTTTTTTTGCTGCATTCAGTATGGCCTTGTTGAATTCTTGTGAATCTTTGTCAACCTTACCTGAAAGGCTGATTACTTTGCAGTTTGAGTCTGCAAGTTCTTGAAAAAGTTTCCAATCTGCCTTTTTGTAGTTCCAGCTTGGTGCAGTATCTGGAGATTTTTCTATTTTAAGGCTGTTTATCAGAATCTTCACTGGCCTGTGGTCACTGCAACCTAACTGGTCACACACCTTCCTAACAGATATCTTATGGATGTCATCTGTTGCAAATGCTAGATCAGGTGTGCTTGTTGTGCGCCACCGTCTAGAGTAGTGCGTATGCGGGTCATCAGGGTGATTGAGAAGGGTGAGACAGTTTGTGATTAGCCACTCCTCAAGATTTTCTCCACGAGCATCTAAACAGTCATAACCCCAGCTGGGTGAGTGACTGTTTAAATCTCCGATAATTAGCAAGTTACTCTCTTGAACCTGTGTAGCTTCAAGTTCGGTGGGGAGGGTAGGTGGTGAGTAAATGTTGTAGACTGACATGTTTTAATTTTTTAGTTGCAGCTGGACAGCAATGAATTCAGTATTCAGCTGATTGGATCTATGTAGTTCAACAGCTGGTATTGAATGACGAACCAGTGTGGCAACCCCACCTTTATGTCTATTTTCTCTGTCTTGGCGAAATATTTCATATCCTCTAATATGAAATCTTTTACCTGGGTTGAGGTGTGTCTCTTGAATGCAGATAACGTCGATTTTTTCTGCTCGCAGGCGTTCCTCTAGTTCTCTCTTTTTGTTAAATACACCTTCGGCGTTCCACTGCATGATTACGAGTGGTGGAAGTGTGTCCTCGCAGTTAGAAGTGACACCCTGTCCTCCCCTAGCAATGTAGGAAGCCGCGGGGCTGTTGGTGGCTACGGGTAAACCTGTTTGAGATGTGAGAGCGAGTCCCGCTTTCACTTGATTGTTACCCAACGTGGTGGTACCACTATTGGATAAATATTTGCGCATGGCCATTGAGTTAACCGTATGTGTCGATTCCTCCCCACCAAATATATGGTTGACACATTCCGTTTCTGGGGACAGCTTTTATGGAGTTTGCTCTCTAGACAGTTGCAGTCCCCTGCTGATGAGATTCTGTCTTCCCGAGTGAACCGCCGCGATCAAAACATTGCGAAGGCAGCGTGGCCGAGGCTGCCAAAACTATCAGTCATTATCCCGCCCCGACACAGCACAACCACAATACACGCTGTTCCCACGAAAAACACATAATATCCTGCGTTGGAAATGCGCATAAAATAACAGTCCATGTTTATGAAACAGAATAATCCGAGAGAATTGACAGCCAGCGAAAAAAAAACACAGCTGCTGTCCGCCATTTTGAAAACGGCGTCTTGAAAAACCGAATGGAAACTAAAGAAGGATTCCTTTGACAAAGCAGAACTAATTGATAAAAAAATAATAAAAAAACAAGCTAAGAAGTTAGGGAAATCTAAGAATTTTTAAGAAAACAAGGCAAGTATAAGACAAGATAAGATAAGATCAAATAAGATGGGACAAGGTAGAAGAAGACAGGACAGGAGAAGAAATAACAAAACAAGGCAAGAATGAACCAGATAAAACAAGACACACGATCAGAAAGGATCAAGACAAGACAAGAGAGACATGATAATTCAAGACAAGAGAAGACAGGACAAGATTAACTAACCTATTGATGCCATCTCCATACAGGAAACAACGTGAGATGGCATTTGGGTCACTGGGCTGCTCATCGTCCAGGCATAAGGCAAACATGGCGCTCTCAATTAGACGTAACTTGTTCTCATTTCGTGAATCTAGAAAACCACACAAAAAATATATACTGAACAGCTGTTTTTTTTCTCCAAGTTTTGTATGAGTGCCAGACAATGAGCAATGGGAGGGTTTCCATCACAAACCTTCAAGTTATGTATAAAAAAAAAAAAAGGACCTGTTCCCAGCCCATCTACTCACTGTCTCACTCTGATCTAGGTCAGAGGGGTGTCACGATGTGCTACTTTCTTCAAAAAGAGTCTCTCGTGTGACCTAGGTTGAGGTTGTGGGTAGTGAAGGGGAAAGGGGGGGGGGGGGGGGGTAGGACCACTTCTACATGTTCTGAGGTCCTTGAAAGTTGTGCAGTCCGGAAGTATAAAACAAGCAACATTAGCGCTGATGTAATTGGAGGCAAGACAACATGACACCCCTCTGACGTAGAACTATCTGGGAAAGTTTGAATGAAAAGTCAGCCAGTGTGTAGATGGGCTAGGAAACGTGGACTGGACCCCAAAAAATAATACTGAATTTGTATGCAGAGAAAAGAATATACCTAGAGTATTCTTGTTTTTCACCTTCTTGATTCACCTGAATAATTTGTGCAGCCTGTGGAGGCAGTTTCATTAAGCTCAGCATGTGCTGGTCCAAAAAGCATAGGCTGTTATGTTTCGCCATTTCAAAGATCACTTTAATATTCTTGTTTAATATTCCCCATCCATCTCACCAGGTATCTAGGTTATCTTTTTTGCCTTCCTCTTGCTCCCTTCCAATCAATCTTGCCAGTTGTCACTAAGTTCTCGAGACCATTTCTTCTCATAACATTCGCAAAAATCATTGACTGACACACACACACACACACATTGTGATTGTAAGTGACTCAGAAAGCATGCAGAGGAAGATAAAGACAAGCTTGATTCGTGCAGAGTGGCATGCTTCGCTGCAGAGGACACGGGTGAGGAATATTGTCTGGATATGTTCAATGTTTTACGCCGGTGTGTTAGGAAATGAACAGGCCGACAGACTGGCTGGCTCTGCACAACTTGGTGGAATAGTGATGCATGATAAGGCAGACGTGGTTAGTGCCTTGTGGGAGAGCGTAAACAGTTGAGAGGAGCAAATGGATTACCACAGTCTAGTGAGATTGATGCAGGGGGAAGTGTACCTTGACATAATAGTTTCAGGAAAACAGTGATTAGGTTGTTGTTGCTTTGCATGGTGGAGGTCTACATGATGACGGATCAACATCATAGCACAAGGGTAGAGTCCAAAGAATCTCAGCGCAGTGAACAAACTCCATAGCACTGACGCAGATTCTAAAATACTTTGGATAGATTTTCAACTCTAAATTTTGTCCAGGCAGCACCATTAGGCTACTCTTTTTCGATTTCTAACTGTCAAGGCATCTTTTTACGTGCACATCAATAAATACGGGCCTCTGATCTTACTACCCAGAGACCAGGGGAAATTACTAGAAGTCTATCGGGGCTCGAATCTGGGACCTCTAGCACTTGAGGCAGATGTTATGCCTCGAAACCACGCAGCGGTCTCCGTGCAAGCCGCCTGGTTGATTCTTGGTATCCACTACTTTCAGAGACACATGAAGCACTCAGGTTTAGCCAGACCCTCCTCCTTTTACAGCCGGGCTTGGAACCAGTCTTAGCGGAGTGCAAAACAGATGGTGAAGAGATAACATACAGGAAACATATAAACAACTGGAAATAGAAGGACAATAAGAAAGATGGACAGAGGCAGGTGACAGCTGCAACCTTAAGGGATGGGAATGCTGAAGAAGATAAACAAGAAGAAGAAGAATTGCAAATTATATTTTAAAAATAACAGACCATGTAAGTACCTGCATTTATGAGCTGCAGGCGGGCACGTGTCCACACATCTCTGAACTCAGAGGTCAAAGTTGAAATAGGAAACTCTGGAGGAGGTGTGTCATCATTCAAAATGTAGGACAGATGAGCTAGGACCTCAGTTTCTGGTATTATGTTACCTGGGAATGTACATTAAAGTCAATGGCTGGTAAAGATGAAGAACAGTCAATCATGCATGATGCATTGATTGGACACAAAAAGAACAGTCAATCATGTGTGATAGATTGATTGGACACACACAAAAAACAGTCAAGTATGCATGATACATTGACTGGACACAAAAAGAACAGTCAATCATGCGTGATACATTGATTGGACACAAAAATAACAGTAAATAATGCATGATACATTGATTGGACACAAAAAAGATTGGTCAATCATGCGTGATACATTGATTGGACACAAAAGGAACAGTCAAGCATGCATGATACATTGATTGGACACAAAGAGAACAGTCAATCATGTGTGATATATTGATTGGACACAAAAAGAACAGTCAATCATGCAGGATATATTGACTGGACACAAAAAGAACAGTCAATCACAAGTGACACACTGGGCCCATAAACATACAAATCAGCATAGCTAATATGAATGAATGCTGAGATGACACTTCTTCTTCATGTTCACCAGCTGTAAACTCTAGAGGAAAGTTCTGGTTGTTCATCCACTTCTGGAATGCAGTCCTGTTCCAGAACCTGAGTGTTGCATGTGCATCCATTTTACAAACCTGACTCATTTGTATGCAGACTGCTGGTTCCTTGCCTCTCAGGCAGATGACTGAATCTTAGTGTGATTAATAAAGAGTGTGTTAGTTCATTTAATTTCCTACAAGAATATATATAGCTTTATATATGTTAATTAAACAATTTATTTTGTATAAGTTTAAGGGTGCAAATTAGGAGAATGCCCTCATAAATGCTCCATCTCCTTGACAATGAAACTCCAAATAAGGCTCAGTCTCTAAAGGGTTAAAGGATTACACTGTCAAAGTAGAAAGAATTAACTCTGAAACCAAACATAGTCACTTAAACCAAACATAGTCTGTGGGTTAAACCAAACTCAGTCAGTGGGTTAAACCAACCTTAGTCAGTGGGTTAAACCAAACATAGTCAGTGGGTTAACCCAAACTCAGTCAGTGGGTTAAACCAACTATAGTCAGTGGGTTAAACCAAACTCAGTCAGTGGGTTAAACCAACCATAGTCAGTGGGTTAAACCAAACTCGGTCAGTGGGTTGAACCAACCACAGTCAGAATATAGCAAACAACAAATTACATTTTATTGTATCTTATAGATCTGATCTGAGTATCTAAAAGAAGGAAGAAAGAGAGATGGCCGAGACAGGCAATGCAACTGAAACCACAAGGACAACAAGGAAGAGGCAGGCTCAGAGGTACTTTGAGGCGAACATCTGAGGCTGAACTCAAGGCTACGCGAAGGACAAAATGAGATAGAGAGGATGGCTCAGGATCAAACTGAGTGGTGACAGTTTGTCTTTGCCTTTTGTGTCTCTGGGTGCAATGAGGATTGACTGACTGATCCAAGAGAAATCTGGCTAGATACTCTAGCATCAATCAATCATCCTTGTGTGGGTTCTAGGGCTCTATTATGTAAAAAGGGGAAGGCGGAGTAGATCCACTGCCTGTAGCATGTAATAATAATGCCATGTAACAAAGGCCTGAGAAGCAAGGAACCAATAGTCTGCATATTCATAAAAAAAAGATCTGTAAAACAGATGTGCATGAGAAACTCAAGTTCTGGAACAAGACCACAAAGTCAAGAAGCGGATGAAGTTTCTGGTGCAGGATACAGCCGGTGGATACCAAGAAGAAGAAGAAGAATGAATCAATCAGGTGGCATCTCTACAAAGACTGGCTGCAACTGATCTCCAAACAACATTGCCTTTCACCCAAGATGTGCACTATCTTCTCCAGACTGCTGTTTGTCTTTGCCTCACAAAATTAAACAGTCAAATGTTTGTATGTATGTTGTTCAACCCCCACCAGGATCATACGAGTTACCAACACCGGTGACACAAAGTGCTACCATTCAGATGAGAATCACCAGGGCACAAGTCTCAGAAACTCCGTTCAACCCATAGGTTGGGTTATATTAGGGCCCCTGGCAACAGCCGGAGAGCGGCTCAAAAAAAAAAAAAAAAATTGCGTCCCATATAGGGACAGTGATTACATTATAAATAGTCAAACCCTCCACCGCTTTTATGAATGAAATAGTTTTGATCCTTGCTTTCATAACTGAAAAAGTACAAGAATTAAGGTTCCTGATGTTTTAAATGAAAGAGTTATGGTCCCTGTTTCTTGGATTGTACACCATGGCTATTCAACTGGCGGTCCACAGGCCATATTTGGCCCGCAGAGGCCTAGCTAGTGAACCCACTGCTAACTACCTGTTGTACTCTGTGTTAATGATTGTCAGACACCTTTTCATAGGTGTGACATAGGTACCATTGTTATTTGTGTCAGTGTACTCGTGATAATTGCAAAGTTAGTCTACCTTCCACACAACGTTATCGACTAATGAGTAGCCACCCATTTATTTTTATAGCTCACAAGCCCACTAATCTCAGGTAGTCACTGGCTAAATACATCAACAGTACGCTGGCATAGCTGATCACAAATCATCCTAGCAATTTGAACAAAGTCATGAGAGGCTAGCGGATGCCTCTGGAGCAATAATAAGTTATCATACTGGCTACCACAACTAGCTTTATAATGATGGCTACACAAAAGAAACGCTTGTCACAAGTATGAATAACTACTACAGTCCTCTCCATAGTTTTAAATCTAGTCAACGCCAAGCGAAAAACAATTCCCACATTTTAAGGGCATCAAATAGACACATCCGTTCACTGGACTGTCAAACTACTGACTGACGTATGTCACTCTACCCGTTTGTCAAGTCCCTTTGTAATCTTCCCACTCAGTTGCCCGTATAGCCCTGTGGGTCTACACACCACCTGTCTGACCAGTAATTTACCTGTCTGATATTATGAGTCAGTCTAATCGTTGTTTGTCTTTCTCCCACAGTCTGTGGTAAAGTTGACTCATGATAATGACCTTTCTGCTCTGGGGCTTGGGCCTCCGGTCTGTGACGATCCCCATATAAAAAAAAAATTTGATCCATCCCTGCTGTACTGACTTACCGTCCCGATCCAACATGTCGAAAACATACATGTTGCCTTTCCTCAACACCAGAATATGTTTGGCTGACTTGTTTGTGTACAATTCATCTTTTTCAGGTCTGAGAATAAATAACAGAATGTTTATCACCTCAATATCTTTATATGTGCATTTCAAGTATCAGTATAATGTGAATTTTATCAACATATTTATAATGTTCACCTTAATTTTTTTTTAAATTGCGTATACGTTTAAATTCCCAAAATTTATATATGTTTAAATTCCCAATATGTGAATAATATCATCGTTCAAAATATCTTGTGCTAAACTTCCCAATATATTTTATAATCTTTAAGTTCCAATTACTTTTATAATGTTTATTTTACCAATATCTTTATAACGTTGAAATTATTTTTTATGTTCACTTTACAAATATCTTTATAATGTTTATGCTCCAAATTTCTATATAACATACAGCTCAACAATATCTTTATATTTATGTTATACATTTTTAAACAATGTATATCTTCACAATGTTTTCATAATTTTTTTTTAACGTTCCCGTGTTGGGTGTGGAATATTTTGGAAGGTAAAAGTAATACATCCGCTGCCCCCCTCCCCCCAAACAAGTATGTTCTAAAAGGCAACTGATTAGGGGCATTTCCTTCAAAGTCATAGCACATCTGCCTTAAAGGCAAGAAACCAACAGTCTGCATTTAAATAAGCCAGATCTATAAAATGGATGTGCACATAACACTCAAGTTCTGAAACAGTACCAAAGTCCACAGGTGGACAACAACAACAAGACCAGAATTTTTTGCAGAAGTTTACAGCGGGTGACACTAGACAGAAGGGGACAGAGAGAGAAGAAAAGATGACGATGAGGGAACGTTAGGTTAGCGACGGTTAGGTACAAATAGGATATTCGTATTTAGTGTCTATGATAGGCTGTATTTCTATTTAATATTTCATCTAGATAGTATAGAGAGTTAAGGTTCTTTGTGTAGTAGACATTCCATGCAGTATTTGTTTGAGCAGTTAATCGAGGTGACGCGCCCTGTAATGGCGATAACACTGCCCGGGCACGCTTAGGCCATACACCTCCCGTGTATCGCTGAAGTCCCGTTTGGCAATAGACGGCGGATTGATTGGCACTGAGATACTGCCAGCTAAGAGTCGTGCTCCCCTAAATCCATGGGAGCTGGCCTGGGGTGAGTAGCAAGTGTAAAGAAGTTAGAAGACGACAAATAAGAAGATTTTTTAACTTCCCAATGCAGCTTTCCAATGTTTTCATAATGTTAATCTTCTCAATATCATTATAAAATCCTTTATTTACATGCATTTCAGTTTCAACATCACACAATCTTCCCAGAGACACAACGCTCCTACCTTGGGATCCGACAAGAGTTGAACAACCGGTGATACTGGCTCATGTCTAAAGGGAAGGCTTTAAACAGATAAGCTCCATACCAGGACAGCGATGGCGGCAACAGACTGGAATATAAACATAATTAATTGAAAATGAATGAATAAAAGGTAAAGGAAAAGTCGGGAGATGTGAAATGGCGTCATTGCACACGGATATAAATCATAAGGGCTCTGCCACTAGTAGGGACAGCTAATAACAAACTGTCCGCCTGTGTCACCCTCCCTACGAAAATCTGAAGCTACAGCGACGTTAATCCATTTATCCTAGAGTATTAACTCTAATACCCATTTCATAAAGGCTGGGTGAACCCCTACAACTGCCGGGTTTCGAACACGGGCCGTGTGCTGCATCAAGTCGCAGCTGGATTTGAAAGCGATTCTCCTATCAACTGCGCTAACATGGCCCCCAAAAAATGAATTTATGAATGAATTCATCAATTAATCAATCAAGACATGACTTTGCTGCACTAAAAAAATTTAACATATATAATCATATATGTGGGTTCCAGTGCAAAGAAATTCTAGTTATATTATTTTCAGGTTTTCTCAATGTGTGTCCTATCCAACGCCAGCTTCTTTTCTTCACCTCTTGGTCCACTAGAACTAGTCTGGACATATAATGACAGTTAACGACAGAAACAAATAGAAATTAAAAAGAGGAAAACCTGGAAAGCTAGCCCCGGATAACAAATGCCTGCAGAAGTCAGATGTGTCGGCCAAAAGGCACAAATATCACAGCCATGTTGTAATCAGGCAAAACGCATTTATATCTTTGGATGAACGCAGAAGAACAAGATAAGAGAATAAGAATGGCCAAAAATAAGTTTAACAACACAAAATAGGCAGCTTAGTAAACATAAAAACTGTCCAATATTATGTGAATACAACCTATGGACATGTCTTAGAAACCTGGACAATGCACAAGCATATAAACAGTCAAACTGAAGTCTTCTTCTTTTTTTTTTTTTGGTACCCCACTAGAACATCACACAAGCGATAAACACCTAGTGGCACAAAGTTCCACCATGCGGATGAGGATCACCCTTGGAGAGGTCCAAGAAACCCCACCCCTTTCAGCCGTCAGGCCATATTTATGGCCCGGCGATATTCAGGGCCCCCGGCAAAAGCCAGGGTGGAGCTTCAAGTAACAAAATATTGCATCTCACATGGGGACGACTACTGTTCATAGACATCAAACTGAAGTACTGGACATACAGATATATGGGTGAATAATTGGTCACCTTTTATGGAAATAAAAACAAAAATATAAATAATTTTTAAGCTAGTAATTTTAAACAGCCCACAAATGATTTATGGTCATTAACTCTTTGAATCCCAAGGAACGCATCATACGTTCATAGATTGCTACCTAGAAGACCAACGAACGCAAGTTGCGCCGATTTTACGTTTTTCTAAACTACCCCTTGGGCCTGTGATGCTAAACCTCCTGGGACTCAGAGTTAAAGAAAAAAAAGATTCTCTACCTCTGCGCACTAATTACTTTCCTTCATATATTTCAAAATAAGAAATTGTTTGTCTTAAAATGAAATATAAATTCTAAACCCTCTTCATGTCGCTGTTGACACAAAAGGCATTCACAAGTGATCTCCATTGCTGCCTGTCTGCTGCTTTTCTGCCCATGGTATCCCATGTCAGTTTACATTCCTTCATTTCTTGTTTTACTGTCTTTTTCCAGGTTTCCTTTGGTCGTCCACGTCTATTTTTCCCATCTGCTGTCCACCGGAAAATTGTTTTTGCCAGAGTGTCACAAGGCATTCTGCAAACGTGTCCAAGCTATCTCCATCATCTTACTTTAAAAAGCTCAGGGAGTCAATGGCCAAACTGAACAAAAAGGGGGATAGTATGTATCACTGTCTGACTCCTATGCTGACAAAGAAACTTTCTGTTGTATGATTATCACAAACTACTGAAATGATTCGCGCACCGCGGATTAGAAGGTCGTGGGTTCGCTCCCTGGCGGAGCCGGACTGTTCTTAAAAAAAATGACCTTGGCTCCCAGGTCGACCCAGCCTTGAGTAGGTACCGGGTGCAGTCCCGGGAAGTAGAGGCGGCCGGCGTGATGCTGACCACATCACCCATCTTGTGCCGTTGGTCTATAAAAATACAGGTCTAGCCCTATATGCCATATACGCCTAAAGGCGTGGAAAAGGGTCCTTTACTTTACTTTTTTCTAACCGAAATGATATATTTGGTTAGTTGCGTATACTTTACAGGACACTGCAGAACCAACCCCAGCAGCCCCTGGCTGGTGTGCGGTTTCTCTAGGCAAATTTACGTCCAGTCCAGTAGTTTGCCATAAATGATATATACAAAATTGTATTTATTTATTTATTAGTGACCTGTGTAAAAAAAAACTCGCTATAAAACATCATCATCAATCAGCAAGTCCTTTCCACAACGTCGCTCTCCTCACGGCACTCCTGAAAGTATCTCTTTCCCTAGCCAGCTCTCCAACCCCGTGTCCTTTCTTCTTCTTCTTCTTCGCATTCAGTTTCCTATGCTCAGATTAGACCATCAGGTGGGCTGCGTCTATGAACTTGTATGTCAGTAGCAGGTCCTTTGTTGCTTGCTCTGCGCAACTTGCTTTTGAGGCCAGGTGTCTTTTCGAAGTTGTAGGTAGAGTGGGCAGGTCTGCAGGATGTGCTCATGTGTTTGTGGTCCTGTTTGACAGGAACACTGTGGGCACTGTACAATCTTTATTTTATGCATGTGGTAGCTGAGCCTGCAGTGTCCTGTTCATAGAGGGAAAACTCTTGTTTGTTGCTTTCTGTTGAGTCTGGTGATGGGGGGACTTGTGGATGTTTACTGTTAGTTTGTTCCCCTACAATTCTTCGCACTTTCTTTTGATAAATGTTCTGATTTCTGGTAATGGCAGGTGCCCTTTCAAAGTCAATGCATCTTCTATGTCCTGTATCCATCTTTATTAAAATAAACTTTACTAAATCCATCTTCTACAAACTGCCAAAGGTTTCCAGGGCAAAGATATTAAATGCTTATTATGTTCAACTTGATTAAACGAAAACAGCTCACAATAAACATGATCAATACCTGGTCACAGTTTGAAAGGTGCTTGTGTTAGACTTGGATGGATTTAGGTGAAAAATTTCCGGTTCCAGTTTCTGGTCTCGTAAAGTTTTCATGAACCGGGTGGACGAAATGAGCATGTTGGCGGCTCTAATCAACTGAAGAAACAATGATAGATATGTTGTTAAATTGTGCAACGGTAAAGAAAAAAGAATCAAAGGAGGAAGATGGAGGTGGCTTAGACACGTCTGCAGAATAACTTAAAGCAATTTAGCAAGGACAGCTCTTTGTTGGATGGCAGATCGAAAAGTAAGATGTGGATGACCAAACAAAACAATGAGGAGAAAAGTAGACAGTTAAATAGAGGAAGTATACTTATATGTATGTATACTTACAGAAGGCATGGTACCAGGAAGGAGAGGCAGGGGCCGACTAACATGAAGATGGGCACAGGCTATAAGTGACTCCTTGAATATGAAAGTACACGAGGCGGTAAAGCTGGCGAGAGACTGATTTTCTTTCAGGCAGACTGTGATGAGAGCGACGTTTTGAAAATGACCTGCTACATGATGATGATGATGATGATAAAGAATAGTGAACACAGAGAGCCCTGTCATTTAGATACAATGCAAGCAGAGCTGGAGGTCGACCACGCAAGTGATAGATAGATGGAACATCCTTGGCCATAGATACTGGCATTTAGGTAGCACATGCAAAGTCTATCCACAACCTTCTGTACCGTGTACTTGCAATCAACTTTGACACAGATGATCCTTCATGCCATGATGTCAGACTGTCCAGCATCTTTTCTTTCGGTCTCCCTCTGCCTCTCCTCCCCTCCAGCTTGCCTACAGTCATGATGTACTTCAATTTTCTCCTCATCACATGGCCAAAGAATGTAGATTGTCTCTTTATGATGTAGCAATTAGTTGTCTTTGTGAATCAGTTTCTTTCAAGGCATCCTCATTATTCCTTTTATCTGTCCAGGGTATTCTCATCATTAAGGTCTAATGCCACATCTCTGCAGCTTTCAAATAGCTGTTCACTAATTTACCAACTATCCATGATTCACTCCCATTTATCAAGATAGGATTTATCTCAAAAGTAACTGCCCATTTTACCAGGCAAGCGCAGATCTGGATAGAAGTGATTAACATAAACAGCAAATGCCCCCCCCCCCCCCCCACCCAACCACACATACGCACGCACACAACCACACACATACACAGAGAGAGAGAGAGAGAGAGAGAGAGAGAGAGAGAGAGAGAGAGAGAGAGAGAGAGAGAGAGAGAGAGAGAGAGAGAGAGAGAGAGAGAGAGAGAGACAAGAAAACAAAGTTAATAAAACACTCCATACCTGACTTCTATAAGCAGGTCTTGGATCGTCCGTAAAACACATAAAAGGATTATGGGTAAGCACCACTGGTCGACGATCTTTCAAATACATGTCAAACCACAGATCTGTCAAAGAATTCATCCAACATACAAATGCTGTCCCGTTTAAAAAAAAAACTGATGTTGTAGTATAACATAACGTAACATAGCCGTTGACCCGTTTGGGTTGTGGAGGTGTATTGATTAAAGCACTAGCACATAAAACCTGCTATCTTTCTCTGTCTTCTGCTTGATGAATAAGTGTATGTTAACTTAGTCCTGTTCATTTCTTGATGCTGTGATTCCAGGTTCGTTTTTGCCCTCTTTTTCTTTAACTTCTCCCCAGTGTTCCTTAAAGCGTAGTCTTTGCAATCCAATCGTGCCTCACCACGTGCCCCTGAACCACGATAGCTTGCGACGCTTCACCACTGCCAAGGGAGGCTCCTGATGTCCTGCAAATTTGTATATTTTGTCTCTGACATATCTGTCAGTTTGTGTTCACATTAACTAATTTGTGAAATGCGTCTGTAGCATTTATACTGTAAAAAAAAAAAAATAGAAACGCAGTTATCCAATGGCGCGTTTTTATTAGTTTGTAAACAAAATATCATACTCGGGTATGTAAAAAGCAGACTGAAATAATGTTTACTGTGTCCAGTGGACATGTGGGCATGAATTGTGTGGGATTTTGTAATTGTTACAACACAGTGGTCAATTGTTTTAAGACCATATTTGTGAGCGTACAAGAAAGCAACACAATTTGCGGTCAACACTATTCCTTGCCTATGCAACTGAAACCATATTTAAGGATAACTATACACCAAAATGATCACTTCATTTTCAAACAGTCACGAATGGCGCGTTTATCGCTAAATTTAAGAAATATTGCTATTGGCCGATTGCAGGAAGGCGAAAGCCTAAGTCAGGTTGCCAGGCATCTAAAGTTGCATCAGAATACCATCAGTCGACTTTGGCACCAGTTCCAAGCCACTGGTTTAATTAAGACCGTCATCGCATTGGACGACCCAGAGTGACAACAGCAGCAGAGAGTCAATTTATTTGGCTTTATCACCTCAGAGACAGTTTACAACTGCTTCCTCAACTACAAGGTATTGCCTCCAGCACGTCATGTGTCTGATCAAACTGTTCAGGACAGACTGCATGATGTTGGACTTTGGGTTCGATGACCACACCGAGGACCTGTCCTTAGGCATCGCAACCGCCAAAATCGACTTCTTTTGGCCAACACTGGGGCAAGTGACAATCAGTGGAGATGTGTCTGGTTCAGTGACGAATCTTTCTTTTTGTTGCAATGAAATGAAGGTTTAGCCCAAAATTGTGTTTAGGAAGCTCTGCTGCACGGTGGTGGAGGTATAAGGGCATGGGAAATGATCATTTACAATGGAAGGAGTCAATTGGTGCACACTGAAGGAAGGTTGAATGCGCAACGATACGTCCATGAAATTCTTTGTCTTCCATTTGAGGATGCCAACAGATATCTTTTTCAACAGGACAACGCCAGACGCTTTTCTTCACAGCCGACCACGCAGTTTTTGGCTGCCAATAACATCCAAGCCCTTCCCTGGCCATCGCTGTCTGCAGAGATGAGTCCGATTGAGCACCTGTGGGATGAACTTCAAAGACATGTTTGTGGCCTAAACGTTGCTCCAGCCAATGGTCGTGATCTGTTCCAGGCACTCCAGGAAGAGTGGGCAACCATCCCAAAGGCCCACATCAGACATCTGATCGCCAGGAGATGCCAATCACTGATCCACACAAGAGGAGGCCACACACCATACTAACAGGAAAGGCTTACGCTTAAAAACTTTTGTGACCCAGCTGCCAAAAAAGGTGTCAATTGATTGGTGGAACCCTAAGGTATTCTTGTGTGAAATTTGAGTAATTTCACTTACTGCATTACAAATATGGGGTGTCAACACACGAACTGATACACAAAGTTGCAGATCGAAGATTGTGGAGAGGCATGATCGCCCATGCCAGTGGGCAAGGCACTTGATGATGACAAGTGATTTATATATATTGATCTTAACTGTGGTGCTGATTTTGCTTGTCCACATGGTACTCAGCTGGGACATCGCAGCTGTTGCCATAGCAAGTCTTGAGATATAAGGGGTTAGGATTTCAGATATGGTATGGAGGTGATCAGTTAATGTTCATCAACTTTCCCATATTTCCAACTGATTTATTACCTTTTAAAAACTAAGAACTTTTGTTGATTAGACAATCATCATATAGCTGGTCCTGTGAACAATGTCGCTCGGCAGCTCTCTCTCATGCACTTTCATACTTTAGGAGGTCACTCATATTCTGAGCCCCTCTCCATGTTGGTCTGCTTCTGCCGCTCATTCATGGCACTGTGCCTTCTGATATTATTTCTTCCTATCTGCTGTGGTACTTGATACAGCCAAAATATTTCAGCTTCCAAGATATAATGCTGTTTATTACCCAGTTTTCTGTGATGGTTGGATATGTATGTCATTAATTTCTAAAAGGAGTAAAGTCAGAGGGCTGAAATTTAGAAACATAAAACTTTTGAAAAAATTTGACCTACCTATTCCGCCCCATCTGTCTGCCTCCCTCCATCCATCCATCGTCTATTCATCCATCCATCTATCAATCAATCAATCAATCAATCTATCTATCTATCCATCCATCTATCTATACATCTGAGTGTAATGTGTGCACATTCCCTTGTTTGTAATTACAACATTTGTTGATGTATAAGACACAATTGTTTATCTGCATCTTATACAACGACAGTAGGGTACAACATCTACCACTAGTGCTCATAGTTCCCCACAATTTAGTTTATCTTTTTTGTTTTCTGGCTCTATAGCTCAGAGGTTAGTGAATAAGTTTAACAATTGTACAATCAGCAAGCATTCGTGTTCGATTTCTGCTGCAATCAAAAAGCAACAACAACCAAAAAAAACTGTAAAAAATGTTTTTTTTTTGTTCATCAGACGACAGTATGAGAGGTGCACTGCAGAAGATTTTAGAGTCTCACTACGAAATATTCCCAAAGATCAAAGACAGCTGGGTGTGCAATGCAGCGGACCTTCATTATGAAGATGACACATCAATTACAAATATTTACCTGAGACATAGTTTGTATGCTTGTTGGCCTTGTCTGTGGCTACCAGCTGCTTGTGAAGTTCTACAGTATGAGAAACACAAACAAAGGAAATCTTATGAATGCATAATTATATTAAACTTTAAGAAAATGTACATTTAAATGTCATTCTCATACCATAAGAAGCTGCCACGGTGTAGCAGCTAGATGCTCAACTAAGGATCAGATCACATAACAAGTGCCATTTGGTCCACACAAACATATAACTTTGTCTCACATACCCACAACGAAGTGGAAAAGGTTCTACTGATTCTTTTGAAAATTTACTTGGTTTTTATGACTAGATGCCCATCTGCTGACCCGAAGGTCTAGAGCTCAGATCTGACCCAAAGGTCTAGAGCTCAAATCTGACCCAAAGGTCTGGAGCTCAAATCTGACCCGAGGGTCTAGAGCTCAAATCTGACCCGAAGGTCTAGAGCTCAAATCTGACCCGAAGGCCTAGAGCTCAAATCTGACCCGAAGGTCTAGAGCTCAAATCTGACCCAAAGGTCTAGAGCTCAGATCTGACCCGAAGGTCTAAAGCTCAAATGTACACTGAAGCAGATCTTTTGTTTTAAATTGACCTCAGCTTCCAGACCAATCTAGGCTAAAACAGGTATCATGTCTCTCTCTCTCTCTCTTTTTTGTTTTTTGTTAAAAATCTTATCAGCAACGCTCATTTCATTCCTATTCTCTTCAGAACATCTGTATTTGATATACTTGTTTACATATAAAATGTGACCTTTCTTGTATATATCCACATTTCCAGAGACTCTCAATTTAATTTTTTAGTTACTTATTCATTGTCAAAGTTTCCGCACCATACAGTAGAGTTCAGTACAGATAACATGTGGTGCTTTCATTTTCTTCAATGTTTTTTTTTAAAATCTATCAGGAGCCGCCAAGTGTAGTGGCTAGATGCATGCCAATGGATCTGAAGGTCATGGGTTCAAATTTGCAAGCAGTCAGACTTTTTTTTTAATAAGACCTTGTTCCCAGGTCAACCCTCCTAAATGGTGTACCAGGTAAAGTCCTGGAAAGTAAACGTGGACAGTGATGTTAAATCATCATCTATAAAGTTGCCGTTTGGTCTATAAAATATAGCTCTAGCCCAGCATGCCCCAATATTCATAATTATGGCGGGAAAAAGGGTCATTCTGGTTTGTTTTTGTTTTTTAGTTGTCCTGTTCACCTAAATTAAAGCAGAAGACATGTACCAGAAAGGAGGGGCAGGGGCCGACCAACACCAAGATGGGCACAGGATATAAGTGACTCCTTGAGTATGAAAGTCCATGAGGTGGGAGAACTGGCGAGAGACCGAGTTTCTTTCAGGCAGACTGTGATGAAAGCGACCTTCTGCAAAGGACCTGCTACATGATGATGATAATGTTGGCCTCTCTAGCTCTAGTTCGCCTCTCCTACATTTGTTTATTTATATTTCTCTTCTGCTATCATCTGTTATTATCATTAACGCTTGTGTGATCCCACTGCTAAGCTATGGATGTGAGAGCTGGAAAGCAATGTTAGCTCTTGGTTTAAAAAATAATAAACAATTTTGAGAACCAATGTCTTAGAATAATACTAAATCTGCACTGGAGAGATTTCAGATCCAATGTGCCACAGACCAAGCAAGACAATGTATCCAATTTTATAAGAAAGCGCCGCCAGAATTACATCAGCCATGCACTCAGAATGGATAAGACAAGCTTTCCCCATCAAGTCCTCATATGGACACCAAAAGAGAAAAGAAAATGGGGAAGACCACGAGGATGACTACGTAGAATCATCATGAGGGAAGGCTAAACCACGGGCCTAATAAACATCCAAGACCTAAAACAGGTGGCAACGAACCACCAAACTTGGAGAGCTATGACCTCTGCCCTATGTGCCACCCTAGGCTCAAAAGGAAAGGCTAACTAATCATCTGCTATTACATGTCCTAGATAGGAGAAACCTGTGTGTTGGGAAGTAAAGGTGGCTGACATGATGAAAACTAATGGTCTACCATCATATACCTGATGCAGGAGGTGACGATTCCTTGGGTGAGCCCAAGATCAGAGCATTATATGTCGGTTCTGCATTTATAGATCCTTGGGCGAGCCCAGGACCATAGCATCATGTGGAGAATGCCTATGATCTGTCCCTGCCTCAAGCAAGCGACAGAACGACGGCCTGGAACATCTTATACAGTGATATGGATGATGACAGTATAAAGAGAAAGTCCTGATGCTTGATCAAGATCGTGACAGCAACTGAGGCCCTAATGGTGGAACGACAACTACAACAGACCAAAGGTCTGCTACAGCAGCAGTCACACTATGAACAGCTCAGGGGCAGTCAAATCACTGGCAGCAACACCATCACTGGATGACACAATAATAAACAATTCGCCCAGTCACATCCAAGGCCAGTACATGCACATTAAGATAGACGTAACCTGGCCGACCAGAGAGAAACAAGAGATATGAAAATACTCACAGCAAATATTACTCAATGAAACAGGAACATTATCTGTCACTGTAATTGGTGAGAAAGGTGAGGACAGGCATGCTTCGCTTCAGAGGACATGGTTGAGGAGCTCTGTCTGGATCTTTTCTCCAGGGCAGGCTGGTGTGTTCAGAAATTAACAGGTGGACAGACTGGCTGGCTCTACACAGCTTGGTGGAATACTGATGCATGGTAAGGCAGCCATGGTTAGGGCCTTGTGGAAGAATGTGTACAGTTTGGAGGAGCAAGTGAATCACCTGTCTGATGAGAGTAATGCGGCTAGGAGTGACGAGGGGATCTGGCAGATGTTCGACGCTCAGAGGAAAGGCAAGATGGACGTATAATCAGAGTGCTTGTGGCACCATTTGGAACTCTGGGCTGGCTGCTGAAGATGGGACGGAGCACTTATGGTAATGCCAAGAGTGTTGTGGTATCAGTTCTTGAAGCAACTCAACTCACCGTAATTATAACCGATAGTGACCAGGATTAGGCTAGCTCCCTAGTCAGAAGTTGAACATGACTAATTCAAAGCAAGCTGATGGCTGACAAGTCTATATGCTTCTGCCCTGAATGGTTCACCATTGGCAACCCCATGTAGATAAGGAGACAAAGAGGACACCGCACGAATAAGGCTAAGTCATGTCCCATGAAACCCACTGAGAAGGCTAATTCAGTGAACAAATGTCTAATGGAGTTGGCCGAAAGGCATAAATATTACAGCTATGCTGTCAAAAGGCAAAAAATAATGATATCAGTCAGATGAAGAAGATATGCCCACTGTGCCAAAGGCATCAAAAGGGACCCTTACATAAAAAGCGAATACAAAAAATCTGACAACAATATAACTAGAATGTCTTTGCAGTAGAACCCACAAAAATTAAGGAAGACCAAAATAACACATGGAGAAGGAAGCTAGAGAGTCAAGTTGAAAAGACTGGAAGGACACAAGGAGAGCTGCACGCGATAGGGAAGGATAGAACGACTAGGCATGAGGTGGTTGAAGGCTTATGCTCCTCTGGGGGTTAGAACAGCAGAAGAAGAACAATGCAAAAACAAAACACAAAAAGGTTATAGATTGTATACCTGCTCCCTTGCCATTCTGGAAGTCTGCCACAACAGCCTGCAACTGCTTGTGTTCCTGTTGGGAAAGCAGAGGCAGCTGCGCAGCCAGGTAGCGCTCGCAGGTCTTTTCCAGCTTGGGTACCGGAAGCTTGGGAAGGCTGGCTTGAAAGTGGTATGTGGGTATGCGGGTGATGTGAAGGTATTCTCGATCTGAGGAGCTAGAAGACATACCACTGCTGTTATATATAGCTCCTGGAAATGTTGATATACAGAAGAACTGGTTGCATTTCATGGAAACAAAAACAGTCGAATACAGAGGTTCAGGAAAGACTATAAATGAAAACAGAATTACTAAAATGAATAAAAAGGAGAAACTGGAATACTTTCATCACACTAAAAGAGATAACACGCTTTCAAAAACCATACTGGAGGGAAAGGTCGAAGCAAGACAACAAGATGTGGGCAACAATAAAGTGGGAGGACAACATTAATAGATGGCCTGTCAGTAGTCTAAGAGTGTACAACCAGGATAAGGTTTTGATGTCTCAAATGGATCTGTATACATGGACCTACATACATGGATCTGTATACACTAATCTCTACACTTTGATCTACATAAATGGATCTGTATACATAGATTTGTACTGATGGATCTATATACATGTATCTGTATACATGGATCCATATACATGCATCCATATACATGGATCCATATACATGTATGAGTATACATGGATCCGTATACAGGGATCTGTATATATAGATCTGTATACATAGATCCGCATACATGGATCTGTATACACGGATCTGTATACATGGATCTACCCAAACGGTCATACACACCTGGGTCTATCAACCTAGATCTAAATACCTGGGCCTACTGAGCTGCGTCTAGATCAACACAGATCTCAGTGGCAAGGCATGATCAGTTTGCAGGCTTAGCATTAGCAAGTAATGATTACACTGGAGAGGACCTGAATGTTGCATGCACATCTGTTTTACAGATCTGACTAATCTGTAGGCAGACTGTTGGTTCCTTGCCTCTCAGGCAGATGCCGAAGGAAGCACCCATTTAGCTGACTATTAATAGCACGCTTCTGTTTTCCATATTTTTCAGTCTCAGGAAATTCAGCATTAGAGGCATAAGGGTGGTGAAGAGAGACATAAAATATGCGCATCTTGCGTTCATTTGGATTCTGGGTAGGAACATATGATGTATTATTTGGGACTGAAAGAGTTAAGCAGTGGGTCTATTCTTGTTTTCCCCATAACAGGGCCCCATACCCAGCAGGCAGAAACAAGGGATCCATACACTGGATCTATCACATCAAGAACAACAAATGAAGTGGTTTAGATGCCTAACAAAAATACCCTGGTACTTTCTGCCACAGAGAGACAGACTAAAATGCTACAACGGGTACAGAGTGAGTAGAAGACCTCGGGAAAATATGGAGTGATGGCATTAAGAACAGCCTTACAGAAATGAACATCAGTCTTAATTGTGCCCTTCAGAGAGCTCATCAACGAACATTACATCTGCTTCCGACACTTCACTGAGGTACAAGGTGGAAGAGAAGAAGACGAAGAAAAATACAGTACGGGTGAATATGCATAATATTAGATAACACAGTTTTCAATAAAATATCATATTCATAATATTTACAAACCTTCTATTTGATGCCGAAGTGTGAAGATTAACAGATGCTGATGTTTGGAGTAATCTCCCTTGTCTCTGAAAATTGTAAATCACCAACATGATGCTGTGGTTAGCGTTATGTCTTCATAAACTTGAATTTACTGGTCTTAATTGAAAGATGACAGATATATTAAAATAAGAATACAAAAGGCAAGAGCAGATTTCATAGCACTAGGAAATTTGTGGATGTCAAAGGAAATCAAAACTAATATTAGGTTTAAAACTGTTAACTCTACTGTCAAATTAGTATTGCTGTACGGAGAGGAAACATGGAGAACTAAAACAATTACTATTAAACTATAAACATTCATTAACTGACGCCTGCGCATTATAGAGGGAATTTAATTGTATGATAGAATCACTAATGTTCAGCTTTGGAAAAAAAAACAACTAAAAAATTCCAGTGAACCAAGAAGTGAGGAAAAGACATCGACATTGGATAGAACACACACTGTAAAAGCCTTAGAGCAATATACTAGAATCCCATGTGGTTCCGGGGCCCTATTATAGGGAACACAAGAAAAGACCCACTGCCTACCCTAAAGCATGTCGTAAGAGTCTACTAATTAGGAGCTTCTTTGAAAGTCGGAGTGCATCTGCCTGAGAGGCAAGGAACCAACAGTCTGCACACAAATGTGTCCGATCTGTCAAACAGATGCACACGCAACACTCAGGTTTTGGAACAGGACTGTTGTCCAGAAGTGGACCAACAACCAAAGCTTTTCACCAGAGTTTACAGCTGGTGAATGCAAAGAAGAAGATGAGGAATATAACTAGAATGACTTTGCACTGGAAGACATAAGGGCATACAAATAAAGGTAAACAAAAAACAAATAAAGAGAGGAAATAGAAAGTGAAGTTAAAAAGATGGAAAAGATATGGGGAGGGCTGCATGTGACAGTGAAGGATAGGACAACTTGGAGTGAGATGGTTGAGGACCTAGGCTCCATTAGGGAATAAAGGACATAAGAAAAAAGAAGAAGAAGAAGAAGAAGAAGAAGAAAAAGAAGAAGAAGAAAAAGAAGAAGATGAAGTAGAAACAGAAGAAGAAATAAAAGATGATAAAAGACAAGTTTACTGTCTTAATACAATATAGACAACATTAGCTTTAACATAGCATTGATTAAACTAAAACTGATGAAAAATAAATAGAAAAATGACATGGTGCACTCAAGAAATTCTAGTGAACCACGAGGTGATAAATAATGATGCTGGCATCGGATAATATCTAGGCTCTATAATAAACAACAATGGAGACTGTTCGACAGAAATTAAAAGGAGGATGGCCAAAGCAATGCAAAGATTGAACAGCCTTAAAAGTCGATGGTTAAGCACCAGCAAGGAGATAAAAATTAGAATTTTGAGAGCATGCATCTTCTCTGTGGCTACATACATGGATCCTGATCTGTGGAGATGCATGGAGCACCTACACCAGTTGGCAGGGCACATGATGATGATGAAGAAGGCTTACATTCTGTTGCTATAAAGTACATACACCCACAGTTAGAAAGCGTTAGGCACTGTAAGCCAAAAGAGTGAAAGTTAACGGAACAATATCCGCTCTCAACAGGTCTCCATCAATCAGCTGATCTGTCCCGAGTTCACTGAACGTTCATAATATAAATAATTTAATTAAAATTCGTTGGGTTGGCTTATAGTTACATTTCGTCCCCCTCCACTTAAACTTAAGCAAACTTTCAAAGTTTGATTTAAAACTTATAAATTACTGATTAGCATTCGCAGAATAAACTGACATGTATACTAAAAAAAAAATGTGTTTTAAATATGTTTCATGTTATCGCGACATTGTTGGCGCCTCAGTCAACACGGGCTCCCCAATCTCCATAGCTTCTGAGTGAAACTATCCCAGCTGACTGTTGTTAAAATAAAATTTGAATAAACAGAACAATAAAGAATTAAAGCCTTAACTACTCACAAACGTCAAACGAACATGTCCTGGCTTCATGACTGCACGTCCTGAGAAACAAGTTTGGTCCGAGGAAATGTATCTGCGAGAAGAAACTAAGCCGGGGGAAAAAACATAGAGTGAACTTTGGATCGGGGTAAGGAAAACTTTGAACTGCTTGTTTACACCGGGGCCTGGTCTGTGAGAAGTGTTCACCGACAGATGCATCTCTCTTGATTTTACAGATATAACTCTCTGCTGTGACTCGTTAGCAGGGCTGTCGAAATTGTTTTAGGAATAGAATCAAATATTTTGTGAAAAGGTATCAAAAGACACACTAAAAGCCAACATATCTTTAATTAACAAGCGTTAAAATGTCATTAACACACACACACATATATATATATATATATAAGATCGGCACAGCAAAAAAAAACGAGACGCACACAAGATACGCCAGAAGACTTGTTAATCAACATAGAACTGGTACTATTAGCCATCGGACGTTGGGGTTCATACTGAGAGGAGGAAATGAGCACCTATGGACATGTCCGGAGTGCAATGAGGATAACCCAACTAACTAACTAACTAACACACACACACACACACACACACACACACACATATATATATATATATATATATATATATACACACACACACACACACACACACGCACATATATGAGTGAGTAGCTTACCTGTTGAATGTTGAATTAAGAATAGACATCATAGCACTCGGGACACTCCCATAAGCGCTCCTTCCCCATCTTTAGCAACAAGCGAAGAGTTCTAATTCCGATGGCACCAGTAACTGTCTGATTGTATATCCGTCTCATCCTTCCCCTGAGTGTTGAGCGTCGGCCAGATCCCCTGGTAACTCCTCGCAGCGTCATTCTCCTTAGACCGCAGTGATCTATGTGCGCTTCCTCACTGTTCACTCGCTCCCAGATGGTCCTCACAACATCCAGCTTGTCATACATCAGTTCACCACCAAGTGGTGCAGAAACGGCCAGTCTATTTACCTGCTCATCTCCCAACACACCGGCATGACCTGGAGAGAAAATCTAAAGGACGCTAACTACCCGGGACCTCTGAAGTGATGTTTTCCACTCTGCACGGGACATACCTGTCTCCACCTTTTTCAACATGCTCTGTGAGTCAGTTACAATGACGGCATGTGTGTACAGCTGATTCTCAAGCCAGCGGAAGGCAGCAGTGACTGCCTCCACCTCCGTTCTCAAATTAGACTTACCTTGTGCCTTATAGTTGGTCAAAACTTAAATTATGTTAATATAACATCATGACTGTGCCATCTCTCTCTCCCCCCCCCCCCCCCCCCCCTTCCCTACCCACTCAGTTTGTTGCAAAGATGTTATAGAGGATATTTGGTGCAGTTAATGTCTTTGAGCAATAACTTTGATCTCATCAATTAATTTAATTTTGATTTTTTTGAAGAAAAACGATTTTTAAAAAAAACGTCTTTATAATGTTAATCAAGAAGATAAACAATCTCTTCAGCTGCCGGGAAATTCGATAATGCCAAAAACTAAGCTTACATTTTGATACTATTGGGAAGCGATTTTCATAACCCACATTTGTTTTCTAAAATTATAAAGTAAAATTTCCAACACTGGCCTCTGAAACTAAAGCAAACGCGCACGTGACAGCACTTAACTAGTCACCTGACTAAATTATGTTCATCCTTTTTAGGATGAAATTTTTCGTTATTTGAAGCCCCACCTTGGCTCTTGCCAGGGGCCGCAATATAGGCAGGCCTTAAATATGGCCAAATGGCTGAACGCTGTTTCTGGGACCTCTCCACTGTGATTCTCATCCACATGGTGGCACATTGTGTCATCGGGTGTTTATCGCTTGTGTGATGTCCTGGTGGGGTAGAAAGTCAGTCTGACTAGTCAGCGTTTCTCTCGTCATCCCCTTGGTGGGATGCAGTTTTTGGTTATTTTGAAACCCCACCCTGGCTTTTGTCTGTGGCCAAGCATTAAATATGGTTAAACGGCTGAACGGGGTTTCTTGGACCTCTCCACGGGTGAACCTCATCCGCATGATGGAACAAGTAGTATTTATCGCTTGTATGATGTCCTGGTGGGGTACAACTTACCTACCTTAACTAGTCACATTTGTATTAAGAATTTTTTTTCTGCCTTCTATCATCAAGTGGAGCATAGGCCCTTAACCAACTGACAACCTATGCCAAGTCGTTTTATCTTTTACTATTTCATGCATCTTACCCCGTGTCCTCCCTAATCTTGTTTAACTTCATCATCTAGTTCCTTCTACTTTTCGTGTCTGCTTTTATTTACATGACCCTGCGGGTTCCAGTGCAAGGACATTCTCTTCATATTGTTCTTACATTTTCTCAACTCGTGTCCTACCCAACACCAGTGTCTTTTCTTCACCATTTGGTCCAGCGAAACTTGTTTAGTTCTCTCTCAAAGCTCAACATTAGTGAATGCATCATACCATTTGATTCCCCTTATTCTGCGGAGGCACTAGATAATGAATGTTTGTAGTTCATTGGTTGTTCTTAATGTTTCCACCCCACGCAGTAGTACTGATTTGACCTCCTCCTCCTGGTTCTTCCTTCTTCTTCTTCTTCTTCTTCTTCTTCTTCTTCTTCTTCTTCTTTTTTTCAAGTCCACGTGAAAAAATTCCAGCCCTTACCCTTGAACCGGGAACCTCCAGCACTCGAGGCGGACACCATGCCTCGAGACCACGCAATCCCCGGACGCCAATTAGAACGGTAACACGAATACAATTATTGTTAGTGTATCGTCAGGGTAAGGGTAGAGGGAAGGTTGCTGAAGAACTACAAACGGAGCTCAGTCGCATAAGCACTTGGTGTGGTTAAGCTGGTGAACTGGTCAACCCCAGAAGGCGGCAGTGACATGGTTCTCTTTGAAAAACCATATTGTTAAAACTCCAACACCAGTTGTTTGTGTTCTGGGGTTGTGGAAATAACAAATAAAATAAAATACCTGGGGATACACTTTGATCAAAGAATGGCTTATATTGAGCACATAGATCAGGTTATAATAAAAGCCTAGCGGGGTCTGGCAGCGATGAGAATGAAGGCGAGTCTGACTCTCATCCATAAGCAGATGAAAAGG